ATGAGAGGTTTTCAGTTCAGTGGCATGCTGTTGTGATTTGATTGCTGATTAAGTTAATGACTAATTGTATTCATTCCACTAATGGAGGTGCTTGATTCGCGAATCTCTCAGCTTTAGTTTGTAGATGAAACACAATGTTCTCAAAGTAGCTTACTTTGGCTGTTTGTTTGCTTCTCACTGCTCTCAATAGGTGAAGAACGTTGTGCTTGCTCTTCCATACATGTTACGGTTCTTATTTCTCAGATGTATCAAATGCTGATGTGAAAAATACTTTAAGGCAGGAGGCCTCCTTCACTTCCTAACACTGCCAAAAATCAAAGACGGCCTCAGCAGTGCGGATCATTACTTTAATTAGGGTTAATTTATAAGGTTATGTTGTTCGAGCTTGTGAGTCATTCCTACATAGACAGGTGGTATAGGCTAAATCCAAATTCAGGAGGTGGCAGACGGAACTACGCGGTGGCATCGTTAGAGGGAGACAGCTGAGCAGCGGGGGGGCGCTCTAATCAGGGTGAGCATCTTCCCATTTACTGTCTTGAAAGTGGTGCACAAGATGTGGATGTGGGGTCAAGTCATCTGATGGAAATGAGCTAAAAAGAGAGTAAGAGAACCTGAGAAAGGGAGAGAGAGAAATCTGACAATGAGACTTTGATGATCTAGAAGAAAGAGGGACATGATGTGGCTCATAGGGGAAATTATGTCTTCATTTGGATACAAAACAACTGCATTTGTTCCATTAGAGGGCGGATTGGTGCAGCGGTGAGAGCACGGACCCACAGCGAGGAGCTTCATCAGTGGTTGCTGAGCGCAGCAACTCAACATTTCATGATGTCAGCTGCATATGAAGGTAAGAAACAAACAATTTCTGTTTATTTTTAGGACTAATATCCCTTGAATTTGCAACGATCGGTAATCATTCAACAAGATTGGATGTCTGTTACTGTTTCTAGTCTTATTAGTACAAACCTCAGTTCTGAAAAAGGATACCATGGTGTGTGAAATGCTAAGAAAACAGAAAGCAGTTATTAGTAAATACTTTTTGACATATTAAATTGAAAACAGTAGGAAAATATGATATTTTATGTTTTACCTTGCGAACGTGATTTTTTTTGGTAAATTTAACCTCATTCTAATTTGATACCTGCAACTTAAAAAAAAAAGGTGGGACGGGAGCATGTTTACCTCTGTGATACATCACTTTTCCTTTTAACAACACTTAATAATCATTTGGGGACTGAAGACACCAATTAATTCAGTTTTGAAAGCTGATTTTTTTGCAGTTCTTCCATTATACATGTTTTCAGCTGTGCAACTACCGGTGTCTTCGTTGTTGTATATTGACTTCATAATGCACCACAGATTTTCAAACTGGAGACAGGCAGGCGAGTCTAGCACCCACTTTCTCATTAACATGTGCAGAACACGATTGTCATGTTCAAATCAGCATGGACGTCCCTGTAAAAGATGTCATCTAAAAGGGAGCATATTGCCGCTGTCGGAACAAAACCTTGTATTTTTCAGTTTTTAGCGTAATTTGCCCTTGCAAATTTCATGCTGAATGGTTCAAAATACATGGCCCACAAAATGGCCCATTACTTGGAAAAAAGTCTAGTTACATTGTTTTAAATTAAAAGTTTTGTTCTGACAGCATACATATGTGTACTTATCTTTCAGCGTTAATGGTTCCTTCACATATGTGAAAGTTACTCACTAATACCCCCTCATACCATGACAGACCCCAGCTTCTGAACTTTACACTGGTAACAATTTGGACTTGCAAATTAGTCTTTTTCTCTTTGGCCCAAAGAACGTCCATTATTTCCATAAATAATCTAAAAGGTTGACTCGTCACAGCACACATTCTGACTGTGCATCAGTCCATTATTGATGAGCTTGAGCCCAGAGAAGTCGGAGGTGTTTCTGGACATTGTTGACAGATGACTTCCACTGTGCGTGAAATACCTAAAATCCTTGCGGTGGCCCATTAAGGAACACTGGGCTTCATTCACCAAGACATTTCTTCTGACATGTTTTTTTTTTATTTGGGATTTATTTTTAGGTAAGGACAGAATCTATACACACTCAAGAGCACAAAGGTTTGAACAATTCTGCGCTTTAAGAACACATCATGAATCTGACGTAGACTTTTTCTTAGGACGTTTCTCAAGAAAAAAATTTAATAAAAAACTTTGGGAGATATTGGTGAATGAGACCAATTTTCCTAGATGTAAATTGCTGCTCTCTCAAGTTTTTTTGGAACATGTTGCAGGCCTCAGTTTCAGAAATATTTACAAAAATGAATAAAGTTGATATGTTTTAGTTTGTTTGTTTATTTGTTTAACTACAGGTTTTATTTGCTTTTCACATACTGTGTGTAGTAGTAATAGTAGTAGAAGTTGTCATGGTGATAGTAGCAGTAGTAAAATTTCCGTTCCTTAATTGTGTTCAAATGTAAACATTTAATTGAAATGATTTGATCAATTATCATTTTTATTGTAGTAATAATTGTTATTATTATTATTAGCAGTAGTAGTAATAGAAATAGCAGGAGTAGTCATTTTCCTTTTATTTTATTCATATAGCAAAATCTTATTTAGGCTATTTATTATTATAGTTTTGGTTATTTTAATAAGAATTATTTTAAAAAGTTGTAGTAAACATGGTATTCTCAAATTCTCAAGTTTTAATGCTATCACCATTTGGCACCATTCCAGCTGATATGTCAATCACAGTCTCATTCACTTTATAGATATGAATAACACTGCCTTGAATTCAGAAAATGGCGACGGTCATACTAACCACAATCACAACTCGAACAGTGAACAAGGGGACACCAGAGCCTGTCGCTGAACTGGACATCAAGTACACTAAAGTAAGTGTCTGTCTGTGTATCTTCCTGACACTATATGGTTGCAACTGCAGAATAGTGCAGCTTAGAAATAGCCTTTCTATTCATAGACTTTTATAATCAACCAATAAATGCTTAAATGTAGTGCATTTTCATGCTAAATACTAGAACACTTGAAGAACTGAAAGCTCAACTGAGTGTTGCAAATAAATGTAGGTCTCTGTCCAGACTAGACATTTTTGTTACTGACCTTATTTAATACTTTAATGATCCCCCACACAAAATTGCAACTTAAACCTCCTTAAACCTATTTGTCTTAAATATAGATGACACTATTTCTACAGGAAGCACGAATGTTTATTAAGAATAGTGTGAGACGTGGAACACATTTGAATGTTTAAAAACATCACAGAATTTGGTCATAAGCTAAGATCAAGGCACAAAATACAGGGGGTGTTTAAAGTAATCTTTTGAACCTCCTGAAAAATCAAAATTTTGGGGGGTGGTCCCTGAAAATAAACCTATTATGTCGTAATGCTGTCTGTTACGGGAAAAACAGATGCATAAATACAAATTCAGGTAACGCTCATTAGCTCATTAGTTGCTTCACCCTCAATCAGTGAGCTTCTGTCTATGGTATTCTTAGCTAATTATAGATGCAGCGATGGTCTGCCTCAGGGTGGCGCTGTAGCAAATTAGTTCACCCAACATGTATTTCTCAAACCAAAAACAAAAGAAGATCTCAAATAATGTGTGGAAGAGCTCATTAACAAACTAGAAAAGAGCATTTCCAAAGGAATTATAGAACCAAACTGTGGCATGCACCCGTTCCCTGGGCCCTGATGACAGCCGCGAGAGCCGGCAGGAAGGCGGGGCCCAAACTCTCAGCCCAGATGAAACCCCGTGAAGACAGCGGGGAGAGGATGAAATCCGCAAGGGAGTGGGGGCAGCACGTGAGGCCAGAGTCCGCCTCCTGGGCACCGCCTCCAGTACTGCCGCGAGACCACTTTAATTTGCCTTTAAATTTGACCCTGATGGCCGTCATCGGGGCCCAGGGGACAGACGCGTGTCACACAAACATTTTGTTGCTATTGAAGCTAGCATTAGCACCACTATGGCGTGTGAATTAGCAGTCAGCCAATGCTGGATTAGCCAGTCAACATTGGACCACCCAAATACCAAGGGGTATTTTGCATACTGGCTAAAATTTATAGCTATTTTCTAAAATTAAAACTAAAAACTTAATGGCACTTAACCCCTTAAATTCCCAGGCTTATTACATACCAAGTCTTATTATTTAATAACTACAGGCACTTCAGTGCAAACTGGCTGAGCTATTCTTAGGTTATATAGGCCCGTGGCCATGTAAGGGGCCTCTACCTCTTTCATTAAGTGATCTAGACTGTCATAAATGTTCAGCGTCCAGTTACTTTTATATTAAATAAGTTTATTTAAATACCTATCTAGCAATGAATGGTTGGCATTAGCAGGCATTAGCAGGCAAGCTAGCTGGGTATCAGTCATTACACTACCTTATACTCAGGTAACATTAACTTGCTAAATTTTAGCGGACGTTTTAAAATTATCCCACTGACTAAAATTTTCAACAATAAACACAAATAATTGATTAGACTACAGAACCAAATGAATACCGCCAAGGTTTGAGAACATTAGAAAATAAAACACCACTTTTCTTACAAGTGTGGAGTTACTTGCTTGCCTTCACCTTTCAAACACACTGTGCTGACGGTCATTAAAATGGAGACTGAGTGGAAGAGCCATGCTGCAGCACCATGACTTTGCATTGGCTAAATGGACTGTAGGTTGAACTCGAGGCGAGTTCAACAGACACTTTACTTCATGCGCTCAACTACATGTGGGCTCCCTATAAAAATAGACACCAAGGGTTTTAAGGTCTTGGCTTTTATTCATGGAGTGGGGTTCTGGTGCGTTCTAGCCCATTTCCACCACCTGATAATGGCTATTAATGCTAGATCACGCTTAGAAAGGTGGCATACAAATAAAATGTTGTTGTTGTTAATATATTAACATTGTTATTAATATATTATCATTAAAACAGATCCTAGATCAGCGCTAATACTAGCGCTCTGTTTGGTTGCAGCTGTTCATCAATAACGAGTGGTGCGAGTCGAGCAGCGGCCGCAAGATGGCTGTGCTGAACCCGGCTACAGGAGAACGTATCTGCGAGGTGGAGGAGGGGGACGCGGTGAGTCTGGGCTTCAACATGCATCCTCAATGAGATCACAGGCTCAAACTACAGTGCTGTAGGAAAGTCTGAGAGCACTCCTTCATTCATTTAATTTCCAGGCAAAGCAGAAATCATGTACAATCCGTGTCTAAAAATTGGTGGAAACATAATATACAATATACACAATGTAACATAATATTTTCAATTAGAGTATAAATTAAAGTCATATTAGTATACATTATAGACATAGATCATTGAGAACAATGGACTGGCCAGTCCAGACTTCAACATCATTGACTGTGTTTGGAATTACTTGGATTGTGAGAAGCAGAAAATGCAACCATCTTCTAAGATTGAACTTCGGAGGTGTGGAAAAAATATCCCTGCAAATTTCTTTGAAAACTTAAAACGAGTCTCCTGAAAAGAATGGAAACTGTAACAAAGGTAAAGTGTTGACACACTAAATATTGTGAAAAATTGGATATTACATTTAGTTGTTGAAGCGGCTGTTTAATTTCTTATAAATTATATGTTTTGTCTTCTTTATTTTTATTATTTGAAATAAGTGAAATAAGTATATCAAATTAATGTAAAACACATCAAAAGTTTATTGTTAGTAAAATTAGCCCTCGTTTCTGTGATGCAGCTTTACACACCCTTGGATTTCTCTCAAGCAGCTTCATAAAGAGCCTCCTAAGGTACTTTTTGGAAATAATTTCATATATTGATATGAGCTTTAACATTAGAAACAAATTTAAGCTTTTAAGATGTTCATATGGAGAAAAACTAAAATTCCTTCTTATATCCTTTAACAAATTCTTAATAAAGATTGTTATATTTTTAAAAGGTGCATATAGTTACAGGTCGCTGTCGTCAGAAGAAAACCTTGTATCTCCAAAATGACTTTACAGGAGAGGAAAAAAACTACTTTACTTTTAATGTAATGGAACCAGTCAATGGAACCAGACTTTTTTACAAGTCAATTTTGGTTGTTTCTTTTGGTCCATTCTTCATGAAATGTACACACAATGTAAAAGACAATGGACATTTTTCAAATTATGTCAAAAACTGAAAAACGACAAAAATGGAGATATGAGGTTTTCTTCCGACAGCAGCTGTATATAAATCCTAATCGGCTTACCACAGTTTAGCTCTGCCCTTTCACGCTGAAGTTATAAGCAGCATATCAGCATGGACTGCCTTTTGAATATAACCCAATACATGGCAGCCAATCAGAACACAGCTCATTTACATATTTTGGTCTTGAAGGCACAGTAACAATAACAGCCTGTTTAATGCTTAGGGATAAATAGAGGTTGGCAAGTGGTCATAAAGAAAAGACTATATGCCGTCAGTGTGTCCAGTCATTTGACCGGTTGCTACAGATGAATGTGCAGTATTGTATTGCAGTTCACTAGCGTTCTGCTCCACAGGAGGACGTAGATAAGGCAGTGAGCTGCGCCAAGCGTGCCTTCCAGCTGGGATCGCTATGGAGACGGATGGACGCATCTGACCGGGGGCTGCTCCTCAACAGGCTGGCTGATCTGGTGGAAAGAGACCGGCTCCTACTGGCTGTAAGACTAAAGCTGTACACCAACTGGCCACTATATTAAGTACACCTTTTTGTTTCTACCCTCAATGTCAATTTTATCAGCTCCTCTTACCTTTGTAGTTCTACAATAACTGACTGTAGTCCATCTGTTTCTCTGCATACTTTGTTACCCTGTTCTTCAGTGGTCAGGACCACCACAGGACCACCACAGAGCAGGTATTATTTGGGTGGTGGATCATTCTCAGCACTGTGTCTTCACTTGTACCAGCACAACACACACTAACACACCACCACCACGTCAGTGTCACTGCAGTGCTGAGAATGATCCACCACCCAAATAGTACCTGCTCTGTGGTGGTCCTGACCATTGAAGAACAGGATGAAAGGGGGCTAACAAAGACTGATAAAACGCCCCCATTTTTTTTCTCTTTAGACTATGGAATCTATAAACTCTGGGAAGCTGTTTTTGATGGCCTACTTTGTGGATCTCATGGCCAGCATAAAGACGCTGAGGTATTATGCAGGCTGGGCGGACAAGATCCAGGGCAAAACTATACCTGTAGGTGAGTCAGTGGGGTTTGTCAACTTTAAAGTGATAGTTCAGTCATCAACAAATCACATTTACCCAATAGTTCCCTTAACCCCGAAAGAAAGTCTGATGTCTGAAGTTTACTACAAGGCAAATGTAGCTACCCACTTAGCACCATGCAAAAAGCCCAGTTTGCATACCATTTACATTTACGCCATTTTGGCAGACACACCAATCCAGAGCGACTTGCAACTATCATTTTACAAAGGTAGGCAAAGGTAGTCTTAGGAGTCTTGCCCAAGGACTCTTATTGGTATAGTGTATGGTGCTTGCCCAGGCAGTGGATTGAACCCCAGTCTACAGTGTAGAAGACAGAGGTGTAACCCACTACACTATACCAACCACAGTCACATATCAGTATCTATAACAGTGGTTCCCAACCTTGGTCCTGAAGGACACCATGCCCTGCACATTTTAGTGTCTGCCCGCTTCCAACACACCTGATCCAACTAATCTGCTAATTATCCATCCCTTCCTGAGTTGAAGTTTTGTGGTTTGGCAGGAAAAATGTTCAGGGCAGGGGGTCGTCCAGGACCAAGGTTGGGAACCACTGATCTATAAAAATGGACGAAAGTATCTGATGTAGCTAAAAACAGTAGTAGGAGCCCTCTTAAAGCCTGAATCTTGATGAGAGTCTGTTCTAAGGGATAAGGGGAGAATTATATGAATTGTATAAATTCATTTTAAGCATTTTCCCAACATGAAATCATATGTAAATCACGTTTCTCTGTAGATGGGGAGTATTTCACATTCACGCGGCACGAGCCAGTTGGAGTGTGCGGTCAAATTATTCCTGTAAGTAGATACCAGTTGCTTTGCTTAACATATACACTTGTAATGTAATTTAAATGCTGAATATCATATTTGTTGATTTTCTAAGTGAAAATAAGTTAGCATTTTTTCCTAAAAATACAATTTTAGCACATTTTATTATGCAAGTTCTATTTATTTCAGTTTTACATATTGTAAAATAAATAAAACATGAAATAAAAATGTGGTTTAGCACAGGTCAAATAAATTCAGCAAATAAACAGTAATTGTGCATGAAAATGTGAAGCGTGTTCTCTCTGGAGGATGTGTTACAATTTTTCTCTATTCACAGAAGATTATTAAATGAAATATTCATGAATACATTGCCTTAGTGTCTGAAACATTGTTTTACAATAGTTTTGAGATATTTTTCCAGATTTAACGCTATTTTACCTTTATCAATATTACATGTAATAAGGACACACAGTGTCATTGATATGAAGCACCACTGAGTGCTAATATCGCCCCCTTGTGGAAAATTTTATTAAATTTTTTTTTTTAAATGAGTGATTTAAAGTCAGGTAGCACTTTAGGTGGTGCTCTGCTTATAAAACACTCAGAAGACAGGTGTAGGTTCACTGGTCATTTTAGAGAGTAGTAAGTAAAATATACTCTACCTGCATTGTAGACATCATGACCCCTGGTTCTTATCACCACCACAGTAGAAAAGTCTCTACAGTGAACCATTCATGTAAAACTACTCTGAATGACTGTTTACATTTCAATCACTACAATTATAGTGGAACTTGTATTTCAGAGGAGTGATGTTGCTATGCAGGACCACTTAAACAGCCCACTTCAACCAAATAAACCTAGAGAACCTTTCGAAGTTTCAGGAGGAGTGTTCAGTCTTATAAACAAGCTAGCTGCTAACTCAACCTCATCATGTTTCTTGTCTGTATGCTTGTTCTCAGTTTTTTATTGTGTCTGTCCCAGTGGAACTTCCCTCTGATGATGCTGGTGTGGAAAATCGCTCCGGCACTGTGCTGTGGCAACACAGTGGTGCTGAAACCAGCTGAGCAGACGCCTCTCACCGCCCTGCACATGGCCAAACTCATTCTAGAGGTAGCAGCAAAGCTGCCCAGGGATGCTTATTCCATTTTAAACCAGCAGTTCTAGAGTGACATTTACCTCTACTGAATGATCTGTTTCGTTTGATTAGGCTCACATGGACTTTACATGCTTTTATTTAAATAACCAACTAACTGAATGACTCGGGATGGTTACTATTGCCTCTTTAAGGCAACCTAAACTTTTTACCTCCATCTTATCATTTTCTTGTTTCTTTCTTGTTTTTCTGTAATGTTCCATCTAAATAGAATGACTGTTGCCCCTCCTGTAAAACTTCTTCTTGTTCTTAATTGCATCACTGTGCACCAGCGGGCAGGGATAAGCAATATTAACCAATTGTAGCATGATTCCTCTTCCAGTAACTGGGAAATTTATGGGGGCCTGGGGGGGGTTGAGATTCTGTAATTAATCCCTTGAAAGTCTGAAATCCATTAGTGGATAATAGATACTCAAATACAAATTTAGGTGAAGGTCATTGTTGACCTGCTTCACCCACGAAAAGGTGAGCTTTTAAGCAGTGTTCTAAAATAACTAGACCTCCAGCACTGGTCTGCCTCAGGGGGGGCGCTGTAGTGAATTGCATCCTGTAGCTCAGCAACTCTAACTATGCCCAGGTTACTGCTGAAAAATTGGACAATATGGTGAAGCATTGTGCAAGGGGTATTTGTAAATCTATTTTTCTACTTGAGTCAAAGCACAAGAGTACTTACTTCTAATACTTTTGTACTTTCAGTGAAGTAAAAATATCAGGGGGGGATAGGTTTCAAAGTATATAGTTTTATACTAGTTTTACTCAAGAACAGAAGTATTGTATTTTGTCCACTCTTGCTCACAAGTTAAAGGAAAAGTTTGGCAAAAATTCCAATTAACATGATTTATCACTTACCCCAGATGCAGTCGATCACCCAAGACATGTTTGGTATCTGAAGTTTGCTTCCTTAGTTTACAACGAGAGATGTTGCTAATGTTGCTAACAAAAACTGGATTGCACTGATAAATTGATGTGGTTTAGAACTTGTTCTAACTTTGGGATTGGGTGTACTTGTGGAAAGTACCAAGTGACGACAACTGAGGTGGACAACACCTTATTTTTGGAGCTTTATCTTTATTCGAGATGCAACTTATAGCTAACTGTCTTACAGTTATGAAGCCTTAGCTATGCTAACAAACACAATGGGATGCCTGCATAGAAACGACATGCCCCTTGCAGTCCAGTTTAAAAGTAGAGTAGTAGATTAGCGTGACGTTATGCAGATATAGATTATATATATATATATATATATATATATATATATATATATATAAACATTTAATCTAAAATAGATCCCATTTCCAAAAAAGTTGGGACGCTGTGCAAATGTAAATAAACACAAAATGCAAATAATTTAAACCCTATATGTCAATGTAAATAACACAAAGACAACATATCGAATGTTGAAACTGAGAAATTTTATTTTTTGAAAAATATTTGCCCATTTTGAATTTGATGCCAACAACACATTCCAAAAAGTTGAGACAGGGACGACAAAAGGCTGGTAAAGTTGTGTAATGCTAAAAAACACCTGGTGGTTAACTAGCAACAGGTCAGTAACATGATTGGGTATAAAGAAGCCTCTCAGAGAGGCTGAGTCTTTCAGAAGTAAAGATGAGGAGGGGTTCCACATTCTGTGAAAGACTGCATGATGCAATAATTCAAGAATAAGGTTTCTCAACATAAAATAGCAAAGAACTTTTGCTTTTCATCATCTACGGTACATAAGATCATTAAAAGATTCTGAGAATCTGGAGAAATCTCTGTATGCAAGGGACAAGGCCAAACCAGTGTTTGCTGGCCGTGATCTTTGGGCCATCAGGCAGCACTGCATTAAAAACAGACAAGATTATTTAGTGGAAAACTGCATGGGCTCAAAAACACCAGAAAACCACTGTCTGTGAAAACAGTTCATCGCTGCATCCACAAATGCAAGTTAAAACTCTAAAATGCAAAGAAGAACCACATATAAACAGGATCCAGAAATGCTGCCACCTTCTCTGGGCCCGAGATCATTTAAAATGGCCTGAGGAGAAGTGGAAAAGTGTCCTGTGGTCCGAAAAATCAGCATTTGAAATTCTTTTTGGAAATTATGGATGCTGTGTCCTCCATCCTAAAGACCACTCAGCTTGTTATCAGTGCACAGTTCAAAAGCCAGTATTCATGATGGTATAGCGGTGCATCAGTGCACATGGCTTAGGTGACGAGAACATCTGTGAAGGCACCATTAATGCTGAATGGTATATACATGTTTTGGCAGACGACGTCTTTTTCAGGGAAGGCCTTGCTTATTTCAGCAAGACGGTGTCAAACCACATTCTGCACATATTACTGAGAATTTCCCCATTGTGGGACTAATAAAGGATTATCTTATCTTATCTTACAACAGTATGGTTCTGTAGTAAAAGAGTATGGGTTCCAAACTGACCTGCCTGCAGTCCAGACCTGTCACCCACTGATAATATTTGTCGCATTATGAAATGAAAAATACGACAGTGGAGCCCCCGAACTGTTGAGCAGCTGAAATCCTATATCAAACAAGAACGAGAAACCATTTAATTTTCAAAACTACAGCAGTCTGTCTCCTCAGTTACCAAACGCTTAGAGAGTGTTGTTAAAAGAAGAGGTGATGAAAAACAACATGCACCCATCCCAACTTAGAATGTGTTGTTGCCATCAAATTCAAAATGGGCATATATTTTTCAAAAACAATCACATTTTTCAGTTTTAATATTTGCTTTGTTGTCTTAGTAGTATTTTCCTTTGCATGATTTGCACATCATTGCATCCTATTTTTATTTGCTTTTTACATAGTGTCCCAACCTTTTTGGAGATGGTGTTGTATATGTATATGTATACCAGTCCAGTGTTTCTTAGAAACAGCCTAGCATCTCCTAGTGTTAACTAAAGAAGCACACATCAGAAATCAAACATGTCTTGGCTCATTGTTTGTCTGCTCTTTTAAAAACAGTCAGGATTTCCTCCTGGTGTGGTTAACGTGGTGCCGGGATATGGGCCTACAGCTGGACAAGCCATCGCCCACCACATGGACATTGACAAAGTGGCCTTCACTGGATCCACTGAGGTCTGTTCAAGCAAAGACTAAGCTTTGACTAAGCAATAATATCTGCTATATTCATAAATAATATCCAGAATGTGCTAGTGACCATGAAAATATTTTATGTTAAATACTGGTCTATTGTTAAGGTCTTGTGTTTGCTGGGTCAGGCATGTTGCTGGCCATGCACCACTACACAAACCCCTGAACAATCTCAATTTGTACTCTCTTCTGGGATCTCCTTAATGACTTGTGCCATTTCCTGTGTACAATCCTGGTCCTGAGGAAGTCTGATCAGGATTGGTGTGCTTTGTGCTAATGGCAGGTTGGCAAGCTCATTCAGAAATCCGCTGGCGAAAGTAATCTAAAACGAGTCACTTTGGAGCTGGGTGGAAAAAATCCTAACATTGTCTTTGCAGATGCTGACTGTGAGTATCCATGAAGGTACAGGCTTTTAAGAGATTACATTACTGAAGTAAAGCCTTGTACAACAAGTTTGCTCTCATCTAACTTGAGAACAACTAATCTTGAATGACCATAACATAGCATACTTTAGTGTTTTATCTGCACTGACACATCTGTTTAAAGCATGAAGGCCTTGATAGTTAGATTAGTTGAATCAGGCATATTTAAGATGGACAAGCCTACATGACTAATCTCTATAAATAAATACTTAATTTTTTTTTCTTTTGGTCTGTAAACTATGGACTTGTCAATGTGGTGGCCTTGGTTTTTGATTGGAGCTTTAAAGGTGGAGGTTATAATCTGTAATTTATCAAACTGGATTGGATTTACCTGTTGCATTACAGTCTAGACATTTCATGCAATTTCACTGGAATTCTCACAATTCAAAACCCTGCTGGATAAGTTAAAACAAAGTCCCAAACCTTTAGCAATTTCAGGGGGCCAAGCAAGCCTAGGAGCCCAAATATGCAAATAAAATGTGAAAACATCTAATGAATCTGCTATTGATCCCGATGATGTGGTGTTTCAGTGGAGCATGCTGTGCAGCAGGCCCATCATGGACTGTTCTTTAACCAAGGCCAGTGCTGTATGGCTGGCTCCAGGGTCTTTGTGGAAGAGCCCATCTACGATGAGTTTGTACGCCTCAGTGTGGAGAAAGCTCGCAAAAGGGTCCTGGGAAACCCTCTTCTGCCCAATGTAGACCAAGGACCACAGGTACAAAGACTTCATCCAGTTTAAAGCCATCTTATCCACAGTTTGTGCAAATACTAGGCAGGTTTGTAGTGTATTAATATATATTTGGTGTAAGAAAGCAGTTATTTTATCTTTCATGCTATAATTTTTACCGTCCTATATTAGAATAACATTTGAATGATGCAACACCTTTGAAATTATTTCAGCGTAACTACCATAGAGTACCTGTAGAATGTCAGAAGCTTCAATGAAATTGAAAATGCAGTGAAAATGATGGAGTAGCTTTCATAGCTAGATATGCCGGCTGTGAGTAGAAACTTGGTGTCAGAAGGAGGAAAGAAAAGGATAAGTTGAGCATCATCAGCATAGCTTGTGGTAAGAGAAACCATGAGAAGATATTACAACACTAAGAAAGCATGTATAGAGGGAAAAGACAAGAGGCCAGAGCACTGAGCCCTGTGGACCACCAGTGGAAACAGATGTGGATCCTGTATGTTTCACCTTATAAGACCATCCCCTCCAGATAGGAGCCAGTGATTCCGATGTAGTTGATAGGCTAAACAGAAAGTTCTCTGGTTTTAGCTGTTTTAAAGCTGCTATGTTCCCAGGTTAATGTTGTAACCTTCACAAATAACTGTTGTTACTCTGAGGACAGTATTTTTCCATCGTACAATGCTAACATGACAACAAAAATAAAAAGCCTGGAAGCTATATCACTAACGTCAAGTTAGTTACCAACAGCAATGAAGAGAGACAAATAGAAGTGGAAATCCATAAATCCTGATATAATGATGAAAAATATAATTTCTGTTTGTTCAATCTTGCAACAGTAGCTACAAAAGAATTCACCTGTGTGGGGAGCACGGAAAGGTCAATTGCCTGACCATTTGACAGTGAAATATTTCGTTTTACATGTTCACTTAGCACAAGTAAACACTATGACATATTCAGACATCTTTTCAGACCTCAAGGCAGCTGGAAGTGACTGTTACTGATTACTAAGGATATTACACTTCCTGATGTTCTTACTCTCTGCAGTATGGTCACTCGTAGGCCGGACTTCTAAGATACATCCCACCTGAGCATCTCAGTTTTATATCCGTTTAAGGAGTGGATAGTTATGTCCCAATTAACGAATTCACATCCCAAATGTGTTCCCCTAACATTTTATTTTGGTTGTGGGAACATTGATTTGGAATGTTCCTAGAGTGCCCTAAAATGTCCAGTATTTGTATTCGTAATTCATTTCCTCAACCCCATTTGAATGATAGTTTAAATTTCTAATTTCTGCTAGCATTCTGTTGGATATGCAGTGTTAAGTTAGTGCCAAGCTAACAGTGGTGTACATTGACCTCCCATCATTGGGTAAAACACCATTGATAGCAGTACTGGTTTAAAATCTGATATTTGAAGCCTGTATCGTGCTGTACTTTGTACGTTGCAGTATTTCAGCAAATCCTTGTTTCCAATGTTTTCTTATTTGGGATTTGTTCTCGGTAAGAACAGAATCTACACACACTCAGCAGCACTGGTGCAAAGAGTTCTGCGCTTCAAGAACACGTCATGAATCTGATGTAGACGTTTTCATAGGACCTTTCTCAAGAACAAATTTAAGAACAAACCTAGGAAGATATTTAAAAATGAAGACCAGTGCTCTGGGAACATTAAAAAAACTGGACATTTTGAATACTCAAGGAATATTTTAAATCAGCGTTCCCACAACCAAAATGGAATGCTAGAGGAATGATTTCATAATGTACATTTGTTAGCTGTCCATCAACCCATCAAAAAGAATGTTCGCATGGTGTCACACATAGTATGTTTTATATTAACATTGTGGGAACTTCTGTCAAGGCCATGAGAACGTATGCTCATATTATTTAGAGAACCTTTGCATAATGTTAGCCAAATTTGTAGAAACACTCCCTGTAAGCTGGGACATTGAAGGTTAAGTCCATCTTCAATTTCACAAAGCTCTTCATTGTGGTGCAGATTGACAGGAAACAGTACGATAGAATCCTGGAGTTGATTGAGAGTGGCCGACGTGAGGGGGCACGACTGGAGTGCGGCGGGGGTCCTTGGGGCCAGAAGGGTCTCTACATTCAGCCCACTGTCTTCTCTGAGGTCACAGATGACATGAGGATTGCCAAAGAGGAGGTACACAGATAATAAAACCCTAATAAATCAATGTATATTTGGTGTGTAGTGAATCATAACATTCTGGTTAACCCATAGAGTTCTATCATCATTACTGTTGTTTTGCTATCCTAAACTACAAGGCTCGAATGTGGGTCCACACTTGAGTTATTCTTAGGTTATATAAGTTTGTAGCAAACTTTTTGGACCCGCCGGTGAGTCCTGGCCATTTAAGGGGTTAATGAGTTATTTAATTAGTTATGTGTATGCTAGCAAAATCCAAATCTTCTAATCCTGTAGATTATTTTAGTTCAGAATGCCCCATTTTTGTAATGGGTTTTAGATCTTTGGACCAGTGCAACTGATCCTGAAGTTCAAGAGTATGGAGGAGGTCATCCAGAGAGCCAATCACAGTCAGTACGGCCTGGCGGCCGGCGTTTTCACCTCAGACATCAACAAAGCCCTGACCGCCTCCTCTGCGCTGCAGACAGGCACTGTGTGGTAAGTTCTGTCTATCTTTTTTGCCACATTTAAATGTTTCAGCTCACCCAACTAATTTTAACATAAGATAAAGACAATGTGAGTAAACACAAAATGCAGCTTTTAAATGATCATTCCATTAATTAAGGAAAAAGTCTGTCAAAATCTGTATCACCCGTGTGAAAAAATAATTGCCCCCTAAACCTAATAACTGGTTGTGCCACCCTTGGCAGTAACAACTGCAATCAAACATTTGCGATAACTTGAGTCTTTTACATTGCTGTGGAGGACTTTTGGCCCTCTCTTCTTTGCAGGCTACCTCAGAAGGTTTTCAAAAATGAACTGCCCATGTAAGGTCTTGCCACAGCATTTCAATGGGATTCGTGTCAGGACTTTGACTCGGCCACTCCAAAAACTTAATTTTGTTTCTCTTGAGCCATTTAGAGGTGGAGTTTCTTGTTGTTGTTGTTTTGGATCATTGTCCTGCTGCATAACCCATTTGCGCTTGCATAACCCATTTGCGCTTGCATAACCCATTTGCACTTGAGGTTTGGGTCAACTTGGCCAGTCTCATTCAGGTTTTTCTTTTTTGATAGAGAGCAGAATTCATGGTTTCATCAATTATAACAAGTTGTCTAGGTCCTGCAGAAACAAAGCAGCCCCAGACCATCGCACTACCACCACCATGTTTGATGGTTGGTATGGTGTTCTCATGGTGGAAAATGACGTTAACTTTACTCCAGGTGTAATGGGACCCATGTCTTCCAAAAAGTTCCACTTTTCACTCTTCAGTCCACAGTATATTATCTTGGTGGTCATTTAGGTGTTTTTTGACAAATGTGAGACAAGCCTTTGCATTCTTTTTGGTCGGCAGTGGTTTGCACCTTGCAGCTCTCCTATGGATGCCATTTTTGCCCTATGTCTTTCTTATTCTGTCTTATTGTGGAATTGTGTACATTGACCTTAACTGAGGCAAGTGAGGCCTGATGGTGCACTGATTGTAGAGAAGCCTAGAGAAGAATTGCTCTGTGCATTTAAGATCTGTTTGAGGAGATTAAAAGCTAGTTAGAGATGGAAGTAGGACAATAATCTGGGTGGTCTGAGAGTGGACCAGCAGTGGCAAACAATCACTGGGGTGCCAACCTTATCAAGCCAGTGGACTAATATATACTTGCTATCTGGGTACTTTCTGAAGCCACTGTATATTCATTAACATACATAAAAATAACCAAAAAACTCTGTGTTCTAGGGTGAACTGTTACAATGCAATGAGCGTACAGGCTCCATTTGGAGGGTTTAAGATGTCTGGCAATGGGAGAGAACTGTGAGTAGACAATGCGATGTTTCTGCACAACTCTAAAAGTCCTAACCAGTTTAGCGTTCATCCTGTTTAACATGCAGCGCCTTACTAGGGTTGATAGAAAACTGAATCGATTGACAGTTATAATGTCATGAGATATGCTACAAATTTAGAAAGTTCCTGTAATGTCCAGTATAGGTCCACCATGTTATTATGAATCTGCCCTGATTTGGCTAGTTGAATTTAAGCAAATGTTCAATAGTAAGAAATATAATAGACCTGTTGTCTTGCAGGGGGGAGTACTGCCTGCAGGACTACACTGAAGTCAAGACTGTCACAGTAAAGATCCCACAGAAAAACTCCTAATACATCAGCAGTTCCACTTTCCGCACTCTAATTCAGCACATTTTTAAAAACAGTGTAACACTATATGGCCAACATCTGACCATCGCACCTATATGACTCCATGGACTTCAGGTCCTTTTCTGTGAGTTTATGTGGTCTACGTATCTGTGGCTGAGCTGTTGTTGCTCCTAGGCACTTACAGTTGACCGGGGCAGATCTAGCAAGCCAGCCATTCACAAACTGACTTGTGGCATCCTTTGACAGTGCCAGCTAGTAATTAGGAGGGTTGTCCACATACTTTTGACTACATAATGCCTTCTGTCACCTCCATTGACTTAAATCCATTCAAAGTCTGCTTAGACTCAGACTTTGAGGGGGAAATGTTAAAATATCACAGTGGAGCAGCCGCACATGGGCTTAAGTTCATGGTGCCCAATGCCAAGTGTCAGCTAGAGTGGTATAAAACATGCCAGCATTGGGCTGTGGGGCAGTGGAACTGCATTCTCTGGAGAGATGGTGCTCCAGCCAGTACCTTTGCGATGAGCTGGAGTGATCCTGAACTAATCATCCAACATCAGAACCAGATCTTTATAATTATGGCTTCAATCAAATCCTCACAGCAATGTTCCAACATCTAGCGTAATGCCTTACCAGAAGAGTAGAGGCTGTTACTGCAGCAAAGGGGTACAAACTCCCTTAAATTCAGAAACAAATAATGTATAGAAAACGAAGAGTGAAACGTGGGCCCAATGCCATTTCTTATTTTTACCCCTACCCCTTGTTTTGGAGTGTCACCTTGCCTCTTGGAACCATGTTACAAAGGGTAGTGGTTGAAATCTTCTCTATGAAATGAGACCCTCAAATAAAAAAGAACATTACTTTCTTAACAGGCTACTAGCGCTGCTCTGTAGGCGACCCTGCCAGTCTGCAGTGACAGCAGAGGAGGGTAAAGTTCAGCAACCTCACTGCTGATCTTTAGTTACATTTAGGGAAACGTATGCCTTCAAAGAGGGGGGTCAATTATTTATTATCGCCCAACCCTAATTCTTTTCTATTCACCAGCTTCTTGTTTGAATTTTCCTATTCCACCTTAAATGGTTTTTGGAAATTTAGCTAGCTAGCTACTGAGACATCAGCATACTACTAGCAACTTTTTATGCTTGTTATGAAGAAAAGGACCAGAATACATTGAAACAACATTAAACTAAGACAATACAGTGGTTATTGTCATTTTTAACAGAGAAAATACTCACATTTGTGGGATTCTTTGGTCGCTTGTGCAGCCATCTTGTTGGTTTTCCTGTTTTTCCTGATAACACTCCATTTGAAGTGTGTCTCTGAAAAAACTCCATTTGGAGGATCATGTAGCCCTAACACTTCACCCTACCCCTCTCAACAACAATCGAGACACCCTACCCTTAGGCGTGAATGCACAAAACGGAGGGGTAAGGGCTAAGTGGTAGAGGCGAGGGGTGAAATGGGATTGGGCCTTGTTTTCTCTTTGGTGGCATTTTTTCTTCAGCTGTGCTCGATAAGTGTAAACAGAACTAATTTCTTAAAAAATGGTTGCATTTTTTATTTCAGCTGCAACTTGTTAGTTAATAGTTCTACATATTTTGTCAATATTAGCTAATATTATTTTATGGCATGGTCACACATTCCACATTTCCAGTGAATATCAGCGCTTTATTTTGGGGGTCAAAATTCTTTACTGAAATTCAGGACAAATTGGACCAAAAAGCATAAAACAATGACAATAAATAAAACCAGGTTAGATAAAATAATAAAAAATATAATAATTGTGTAGGCTACAATATGTGCCTACAAAAACAACATCCTCCACAACAGAGAATGGTTGGCCATCCATGCTAATGAATTCTATTATTTTTTGGTTATACTTTGTACTTTGTGTCATCATTTCAAAAACTTTTAATTTTGCTTCTTTTTTGCTGTAATTCTGCAAGGCATGTTTTCTAGTGGTATCAAGCCTGTAATGTAGAAGTTCTTGGGTATTGTATCTCCTTCTGAGATTATAAATCACTTGTCTAAAATGATTTCTAGAAAACATGAAGTAGTTACACATGGCTGATGCATTAATTATAAAAGCTGTGCATCTCAAATATTATGCAAAATTAAACCACTTATACTTATCTGTGTTTGTAATGTCTGTCAAATGATCCATGCTTATTTAATAAAGCTTTTTCAACTAAAGCAAATGTAAATACAAATTGTCTTCATCTCTTCTTTTTAATATAATTATGAAACAACGGTAAACATTTTATTCTGTAAACTATATACATATAAACATTCTCCTTTTCATGCCCAGCTCCATTTTAACATACTTTGGAAGTCAAATACTCTGTAACAAAAAGAATATTAACAAGCATTAGTTGTGACCTAAGTAAATGCACTCATTTGCTGAAGTACAACCATGTATGTGTCGTTGTAGTGTCTCTGTTTGTGGTGTTTTGTGTTCTTTTAGTGTTTTTCTATAGTCTCTTTGCATATAAGGACTTTATCGCATCGGCGGAGGTCCTCCTCGTCCTCGTCCTCGGCCCGGTCCTGGAGGAAGCCCACGGCCGACCCCAGGCAATGGTCCTGGACCCCTGGGGCCCGGTGGGCGGGTCACAGGCCCTCGAGGATTTGCAGCAGCCAATGACACGTCCCTCTGAAGATTTACTCCTCTCCCAGTGGCTGCCGTCCCAGCTTTCCCCGTCACCTTTGGTGATTTACCGGGAGGGGCTTGCTTAGCTGGATTTTCTGAAATTCAAAGAGAAACAAACAAGTAAACCAAACAAAAAAGGTGTTAGTCTGCATTGTAGGAGTGTAACAATGCGTCAGTGTTGCATCAGTTTTGGAATGTTAGAATTGATAATAATAATATTCAGTATAGTTACGATACACATATATGTAAACATTGGATGAGCGGGTGTCCACAAACTTTTGGCCATATGGTGTAGATTATTTAATGATTTGCAAATCATCGAATTCTGTTTTTGTTTACATTTTGCACAGCGTCCTAACATTTATGGAGACAGGGTTGTAGTTGGTCCACTGTGAATTCAGTTCAAGTATTTTATGTTAAAAGGGATTTTCTCCCATTTTTCAAAAAGATCTGCATAGTTAAATGGTTAAGATGTAAACGAAGTCTTTCAGAGTAGTTTGCTCTGCTCCATTCTGGAGAAAGTGAAGGAACTGGTGATAGGAACTGAAGAGTTTAAAGCCTACATGTTTTAGCCCCCCTAAATGTTATTTAGCCCCCCTCGTCTATAGTTCTAAATCATCTATAGTTTATTCACATTCACAATATATTGTAATAGCAGGGCGCGACCTGGGGGAGGCGCTGCTGCTGCTCTAATGCAGCAATGCCTCTGCTGTAACGTTCAGCCAATCATATCAGTCCTCCCACGTTGTGAGCCAATCATATCAGACATCATACGTCGTAAGCCAATCATATCAGCCCGGGGCCGGGTCTCTGTTTATGCCCAACCACGCTGAAGACGGATTTTGGCTAAAAGCTCACTAAAATAAACGTTAGACTTCATTCAAAAGCTACAATATACAGAGTGAAACAGTGAATATATCCACTTACAACATGGATTTGTGGACAATTAGGGTCAGTATAGCTGGATATTTGTTTTACTTGGTTGCTTGTGAACTCTAGCCAGATAACTTTAGTTAAGTTTGGGTTTAAGTGAGGTAAACAAAGAGGCTAGGCTAACAGTAACGTTAGCTAACTAGCTCACAAGCTAACTAGTTTAACCTCGCTTCATAGTGAGAGTGAACGAACGAGAGGGACATAAGTAACGTTAATGACAGCTCCTTATATCTGCTTTTAGATTTCTCCTCAATATTTGGATCTACACCAGTTATGTGTCATAAATTGTTGTTTACAGTAAATTAATGTCAGTGAAAAGGACGAGGCTGGAGTTTCTTCCTTTTCACTCGATTCTTGTTTGAATTTCCCGCTGAGGCGCCAGAATGAAACAGCGTTTAAGGTGGAAAATTCAAACTGAAGCTGATTCAGCTTTGTGTGAAAAGGTCATTATACCAGTTTTATATCCCTCCATTCCTCACCCTGCAGATGGAAATTAACAGGCAGCAGCTCCATCGAAGGCCAGTCAGATGAGATGTTTACCAGTTAAAACAAAAAAGTTAAATTGATTGAACATTATTTTTCTGAGTTCTTGTAAATCTGACTGAATAAATTGAATGTATTATTACACACAGAAAGAGAGAGGGAGAGAGAGAGAAGCTGCAGGAGCAGATCTGATGAAGGTAAGTGATCACGAAGAAAGTGAGAGAGAGTCGTATAAGCTTTCAGTTAACATTAAACACTGAATTTAATTTAACTGAGAAAATATAATATTTGTCAATGACCATGAAATTCTGTCACCCAGCTCATTAAACATGCCTACAAAGCATCATTATGGTCTTTCTGATTGAACCAACTGAGACTGAACTGATCTGTTATCTGATCAGAGATACTTTAGTACCTTTGCCTGACCTGTGCCTGTTGTAAGTGGATAGATATAGTTTGTTTGTCATACTAGCTGTGTGCTTAATACAAACTATGAAGAGACAGATCTACTGTGTCCCAATTTGACCACATAACCATTTTTTTTTATATACTTAACACGGCTGATGTACTTGATATTTTCTGGTTGTTGCTACTCTGAAAGTGCATTATAAACATTTTGGGGCCATTAAAATAATTTTCTTAAGGGCATGATGCCCCCTGACCCCCCTGCTTAGCCCCTTGTCTATGAACCTCCAGTGAGGCCCCTGAGTGAGGCATTGTTTTACGATAGTTTAAACGATTTTGGCCTAAAACATACTTTTTAAAAATGTATTTATGGTGGGGAGATACATGCAGGCCATTATAAGGCAAAATAAGTGCCTAAAGAAAACTTATTTTTTACAGATTTATCGCTATTTTACCATTTTATCGTCAACATTACATGTAAAAACTCAGAAGACAAGTGTAGGTTTACTGGTGGTTTTGGATCGTAAATAAAATGGCTATATTTGTGTCGCACACATTGTGACCCCACAGTTCCTACCACCACCACTGCAAAGAATTTTTTTACCTACAGTTAACCATTTTACATCAGTGCACTTTAAATGACTTTGTTTTACATTTCAACGACCAAAGCATTACTGCATTTTTTTTACTTAATCTCTATCTGGAGCATCAGCCCACTGTCTTCTATTATAAGTACGTTTTGAGTCAATGGTTCTCAGTTCTTTTCTAAGCACCAATATTATGTCCATGATAATCGACTATATATGATGGTATGTGATGGGTAGAGATTGGCTTAGAAAAATATGGAGTGTTCCTTTGAATGACAAAAGCAGAGGTGGGGCTGCTGACCTGGTTCCTCTGCAGCAGGCGGTGGAATTAGAGATTTATTGGGCAGAAGATCCTCCAGATCCTTCATCACCTGGTTAGTGCTGTCTTTATTGTTCCTCCTGTTCTTCTCTTCATCTCTTTGCTAAAAACAAATAAGATGGAGATGTAGCTGGAGGATTTCAACAGATATGTTGTTTTTCTGTCTTTAATAACCGCTAACTATTAACCGTTAAAGTTGGAGAATCAGATTGATGCAATATTTCTTACAGCAAATGTAGTTAATCAGCCCCATCATGGATAAAATGCAGGCTTTTTTACCACCATTTCTGAAGTGTTTTTAAGTTCTCCATCTGATGGAAAGCATACTCTTTCATTGTAATCAGTGTTTAATCCATACCAGCTGCACTAGATGCCTGTCAAAACATTTTTCTTTCTTTATCTTTATTTTGTGTGCATAAGTAAAGCATAAACTCCATACAGATCCAGTAAAATCACATGCTTTCACTTTTTATAGTGGTTTAAACTGTATTTGAAATATTAAGTTACTAAAATGTTGGGTCTTGGTGGCAAAGCAGCTCCTGCGCTGTACTAACAGTGTGTGGAAACTACTGTTATGAAAAGGCTTTTATCTGAAATGAATAGCAATAAAAAATAAAAAAATTCTGTGATTTCATTGCATCGTTGCTAAATTACAGGCAAATTATACTGCCCATTGGCACTCATAGAATGCCTCTCAGCTAATCACATTGTGGTTGGAACTAACTCTGGTATAATTTTGACCTAAAAAGCCAAAGGACAAAATTCATGCTTCAAGATGGCCACTAACCACATAAGCAAGTCTATTTGAGATCACTTAACAACTTAACAATTATGTGATGATTTAGGTCTGCGGTTTGCACAGCGCTAACCTGCTGGCTGTAAGCTTTCGTTAGGCTACTTTTTAGCTACATTAGCATCATAGTTCCAGAGTAAAACTATAAAAGACACCAAACATGTCCTTGCTGATTGACTGCATTTGGGATAAGAATGCAAATAGTGTGGGGTATTATGACAGTATTTATAATTATTGTGATTATACACAATCATTTTTGACAGTATTTTAAAACTTAATAAACTTCAGAAAAACAAAGTAAACAAAATAAAAATGTCTTGAAGTATTGTGATATTATATTTTTGTCATATCGCCAACCCCTAGAAATAGTGTACACTGGATTTTTTTTGTTGAACTATACTTTTAATTAAAAGCAACAGTTCCAGAGTGGTAGAATATAACATAAAAATATAAACTATATAGACTGTATGTAACATAGACTAAAGATAAACTCCACCAACATACAATATAATATATACAATATAATGGTGGAATGTACCATAAAAAATAAAGACATTGGTTCATTATGAATGGAAGTGGTGTGTTTCTAAGCATATGACATGGTTCAGAAGTGGTATGCACCATTTGTATCTTCCTCTTCAAATCCATGTTGGCTTTCTGGTATGCCTTTGAGACTGTATTCAGGTAGTAAATAGCTAGCCTGCAAAAAAGAGACCATAACCAATTTCTGAATTTTTTCATAATTATACAATGTTAATTTAATTTCTGATATCTATACCATAATCTACACAACATTTTATGCTAATCTACTTTGTTAGTTTGATAGTTATGCTAACATACTTTGCTACTTTGCACAGAGCACAGAGGGTACTTGCACTAATCACTCACACCATGAGAAGCACGATGGATATGATGAGTCCTGGGTTGGACGCGTAGGTGAAGATGTTGGCCATAAACGGAGGAAGGTTCTGAATCGTCTCTATGACCACATCATACATCTTCTCTCTCCCACTGTGAATAAAGCATAAAGCATAGTCAATGAACTGCGTCACTTTAGAATGGTCAAGCTAGCCATAAACTTGAGCAAAGCAAATTATTGGTCATAGGTCATAAACATGATTTATTCATCATAAGTCTTGAATACATAGAGGCCAGCCTCCTGTAAGCTTTAGGTTTTTGCCTGACTGTGACATATGCTTTCCTGATGTTTGCTGATATATAGAGGAATCTATTTTTCTGTCGACTCATGCAGTGTTTCCTGTGCAACTGGCTGCCATACAGCCCCAAAGTATAATAGGTCCAACCCCATGGTTAACAGTTGGCAAGGTGTTCTTTTCATCAAATGCTGTATAGTATAATAATTCATTTGAAAACAAGCACAATCTGGCCTTAATGTTGCAGATGAAAAATGTTTAGTTGATATTTTGTAGGGCCCATTTGGCTGCAGACCTCTAACAATGTTTATCAGTACACAGAATTACCCAGATGGAATGGTTACTAGCTGAGGTAGATAATAATTTGTAAGTTTGTATGTGTGCGAGTGTGACCTGAAGGGTCCGCAGTCGAAAGACGGGGACATGGTCATCATGGTGTAGACCACGGGCATCAGACTGAGGAAAAGTACAAGCAGCAGGATGCCCATGTAGAAGTTGTTGGAGCGTGACGCCTTGAACACTCTCTCATGAGGGACGTTACTGCTCATCACAGCCCAGCACTGCAAGTACATGGAGGTTACCAGACGCAGAATGTTTATACCCATCAGCCCTGGAGCATAGAATGTGCCCATCCTGAAAAACAAAACGCATTATTTTAAACAGATGGTTTGGACAAAAATCAAATTTACACCATCCTGCTTATACTCTAAAGGTAGCCGATCGGCCAAGACATGTTTGATGACTGAAAGTGTCCTTAGTTTTGCACTGGAACAACGAGGCTAATGTTGCCAACAACATTATACCATGGCATTGTGCAACTGCATTCCTAAATCATCACACGTTTGCTTCAAAACTACTCAGATCAGAGTGGCAGGTGGGCTATGGAATTACCAATCCATAGTCCAGAAGGAAGACCTAATCTCAGCCTTTGCATCCCTCCGTTTGCTGCACTTCCTGGCTTTGACAGAAACTTGGAGGTCCACAAACTCTGTTGAGATATACAACATGTGCCTCTTACTGTGTGTGATTGGTGGATTCATGTGTCCGTCCATTTTGTGTGAAACTGACCAATGGACACTTAAGAGATCACTAAGGACTGACCCATCACGCCGGAAATCCCTCATTCTTTAGTCAGGTGACATCGAAGACACTGTGAACTGGCGTGCAAAGAATTTACAGCCAGTAAAATTGCTGCAGTGGTTTAGAAAGCAGCGCCAAAGATAACAGAGCATTTTGATATGAAACATATGGATATCATGTACTTTGTAAGTACCTTTTAAGGTGAATTTAAGTAGATATGTTAAAATTGAGAAAAAAGCTTCTAGATCTCAGAGGATAAACTTCTCCCATTCTCTGAGAACGACTGGCAGGGGTGGTGGCACAAGTTTGCTTCTATCTACAGTGTGGGATTTCACTCTATTCTCATTCTCTCATCTTTCAGTTTTCTCTTTTCGGTGCATGCTGTTACTGTATTTTTCCCACTACATTTCACATCGTCATTTATCGCCCTATTTGTTTTCTAGGTAACTTCCTAAATGAGCTAGACATTCTTCAGAGTCTCTTTCTGATCAGTGACGCCCCACTCATTCTCCTCTGTGACTTCAGCCTTCCTTCAGACAAGCTGCAGTCATCCTGCCTCCTTCCACTGTTATCATCCTTTGGCCTTAGTCTCAACACAATAAGCAGGCAACATTATGGACCTGACCTTCAGCAGACTTACCCCTGCGCTGGATTTCACAATAACCTCCCTTTGCTGCTCAGATCATCACTTTCTCTCTTTCACACTCTCCCTCCCTGGACTTCCTGTCCATGTCACCCCTTCATGCTCTTCCTTCACTCACCGCAGCCTGCACTCCATCCCCCCCCCTCGTCTCTCACCTTTCCCCACCCTGACTCATTTTTCTCTCTTTCCCTGGATACAGCCACATATACTTTTCTTTCTTCATGTTCATCCGCATTTAACCTTCTTTGTACTCTCTCCTCCAGGCCAGCAAGATCTTTGCCACTTGCCCCTGGCTGACGGGTGTGCTGTGCAGCACTTGAAGTTCATCTTTGGTGAACTTTGGCATATGAATTTGACCAGTAGCCCAGTTGCTTTGGTTTCATCAATCTCTGAACACTGTTGGATGGAAGTACATTTACAGATGTACAGATTTACAGATGCAAACGTACTTCTATACAAAGATAGAAGTACACTTACAGAAGTACTTATCCAGAGTGACTCACAGTTTGATCATTTTACACAGGTAGGCAAAGGTAGTGTTAGGAGTCTTGCCCAAGGACTCATATTGGTATATGGTGTAGGGTGTTTGCCCAGGCAGGGGATGGAACCCCAGTCTACAGCGTAGAAGGCTGAGGTGGTACCCACTACACTATACCAACCCCAAGCAGCAACCTGAGAGAACTACGACTAATAGAAGGTGGAGGAAATCCCAGCTTGACTCCGATCTTTACTCCTACTAATCTCTCAAATGATTTGTCACCTTCTTTGAGGAAAAGGTCCGCAAGTCTTTTTCCACTTTCTCCTCTCCCTCCGTTAGTCCTCATCCTCTTGCTCTTAATTCCCCAACCTGTTTTTCTTCTCTTTCCACTGATGATGTTCTACAGCTACTCAAATCTAGCAGTCCAAGCTGGATCCCATCCCATCTGCACTGCTCCAGTCAATCTCCATTGACCTACTGCCCTTCATCACTTTCATCATAAACAGCTCCTTGTCATCAGGTAATGTTCCAGCAAGCTTGCTAGGGTGGTACCCATCCTGAAGAAGCCCATGTTTTACACCTCCAGTGTTGGCAGCTACCAACCAGTACCACTCCTTTCTTTCCTCTCAAAAATTCTTGGCTTTTAACCAGAACACTACAGAAACTGCTCTCATAGCAGTGACTAAGAAGGCCCAGGAAACAGGATCAGCCAGTCATTGGTTATGAGCCTTCAGCATGGTCAACCACAAGACCCTCCTGTGTGTTCATCTTTGTAGACAATAATACATCATAAATTGTCAGAAACTACATAAACAATCCCACTTAAGATTACTTAACAACTCGATAACAGTTTGAGGCACAATTTAGGCAGTTAGCACAATCGGTTTCATTACTTATTAACTACATTAGCAGCCTCATAGCTCCAGTGCAAAACTTAAGTAAAAGCAAACTTCAGACAGCAAATATGTCTTGGGGAAAGGCAGAAAACTGAGTGAAAGTATTTTTTTTTTATCAGTGAAAAACTGCAAATTTAGATGAAGTTTCTAATTCTCACCAGATCATTCCCTGGTTGAAAATAAGCCCAAGTACGTTCCCACTGATGTCAAACTCTGCATATGAGGGCTGTAAGAAAAAAGACACTCATTGTTTAATGGACAGCAGAATGGGCTATGGTAAAAGATTATCTCTCTATTTCACCAGTAATCAATAAAATGTGAAATGACAGACACTTCATGACTCACAATATTTAAATACGCACAAGGCAGTAAAATACTCCCAAGAGAGATTACATGCTGTACCATGCGATGGAAATATTAGCATGGTTGTAGAACATTGTGTGACTACATTAGCATTTTATCAGTCTAATAGCAACAGAAAGAAGAGCAATGTGTTGTGGTAAATGATACTCAGCTTGTGCTCTCTCTCTCTCTCTCTCTCTCTCTCTCTCTCTCTCTCTCTCTCTCTCTCTCTCTCTCTGTAATTAAGTGACCTGAGTGGTGTCCAGTGTCTTTGTGTTGCTCTGGTTGTTATGTATCACCTATCACGCCAGGGTGACGTGTTAGCTGTGAAGGAATGAGCTGTATATGTACTGAGGGCAACAGGATAGCACGGTAAACATAATATGGTATACTAGTGTTTGTAGTACATAATACAGTAGAATACGTAGTTAAGTTCTTCACAAAGCACTTTGCTTTTGTACCTGATGAAGTACTACTGTACAAAAAAGGAGCTTAGATACTTAATTTAGTACTTTAGTACTTTATAATAAAGTACTAAAGTTAGAGACCATGCTTTTGTTTGGCCAAAGAATTTCACAAAAGCCTCAACAATTAAGCATAATCTAACATTTTTCAGTATTTATTGTGTCCATCCTTTGCCTTTATTACAGCTCTCTGTTGTTGTCAGGAGACTTGCTTTCAGTTTTTCAAAGAAATCTGCAGGGATATTTTCCACACCTCCAAAGTTCAATCTTATAAGTTGGATTCATTTTCTAGTAATCACAATTCAGATCAGCTCATTTACAAATTTAGACTCAACAGTCCTTAAAACCTTTCTCCACAAGTCCAATTTTGTTGTTTTACTGCAAATGTTCTTCTTTGTCTGTCTCCTTTTCTCAGTTACACGACAGCTACACATCCTTTCAGATTCATAGCATTGAGTTGTCTTGTGACAGTAGAAGGATGGACAGAAACATCACTGGATTTTTTCTGATCTGAAGCATGATTTTCTCCTCTCTCTCTCAAAGATGAAATCCATAAGTACTATTCGCACTGTTCAGAAACAGTTTGTTTTTTTGTTTTTAAAATTTGTTAATGGAGCTTAGTCTGTTCAGCTCTGGAAGTGTTGGAAATTGATAGCTTGAAACCAAACAAGCTATTTTCCAGTCAATTCTAACAGTAGTTATGGTGTATCTGTCACCTGCATCTTCTATTACATCTCATAGTATTAATGACAATCACAAGAATAGTGGGGACTCACAAAGCCGGCCTCCAGGTCCCAGCACCAGCAGTAATTGAGGAAACGCACGATTAGCGCTCTCATGAAGTCTCCAATCAGGATGGTCAGATATGTTACCTCAATATCTGACACCGTAAGCTTCACAAACTCCTAAAAGCAGTAAGAGAAATGTAAAAATTATTATATGAATGAATTTTGTTACTTTATGTACACAACAATCACTTGCACAATACAGTGTTTAAATACTGTAATGGAAAGTATCCCATGCATTTTCAGAATGAGATGTTAATAAATTATGTAAAATAATACACTGAAATTGCAATACACAGTGTTCTGTATCTGTAATTTTATTATAACTTAATTCATTCTTTTTTATTTTAAAGAAAAAAAAAGAAGAAAAATTGATAATTGTGGCATGTGTAAATGTTCAAACATTCTGCTAAGGCAGTTTTTGAAGCCAGCCAAGAGTCTTTCTACTATTTTAGATTTTCTTCCACTTCTTGTTCTGTGATATTCTTGGGCCATTTTGCATCTACAGAACACTTAAGATCTAATTGCAGACTTTTATAAATGTTCAAGTTAGGGTACTCTGAAGTAGTTCACAGGTATGTTACAGATTTTGAGCTAATTTCTTCTCTGTGTTACATTTGTTTCAAGAATTTGCTGATATTTAATGGAATCCATTCTTCCATTGACCCATGCAGTGTTTTCTGTGCCCCTGGCTGCCATGCAACCCCTAAGCATAATAGATCCACCTCCATGCTTAACAGATGGCAAGGTGTTCTTTTCATCAAATGCTGCTCCTTTTTTTTTCTCTAAACATACCTTTAGTGTTTGTGGCCAAAGAGTTCTATTTTAACTTCATCAGTTCTCAGCACTTCTTTCTCAACTGCCTCTGGCTTATCTAGATGTTTTGCATACTTCAGACATAGACATGAGGTTACAGGTAAGGTTTCTTTCTGATGTCTATGCATATTATGTTTTTGCAAGCAACACAGCACAGCAGAACGGTACCTTCCAACAGGTCCTTTGCTGTCATATGGGGGTTTTGCTTTACCTTTCTGGCCAGCATTTGAGCAGTTCTATCTTAGAGTTTTCTTGGTCTTACAGATCTTGCTTTGACTTCCACAGTTCCCCTTAACTGCCATTTCTTAATGACATTTGTGAGCTGGACACACTACGACATACTTTTATAGCCTTCCTCTGCTTTGTAGGCATCAGTCAGCTGCTTAGAGGAGTTCATGGTTGTTAGCATAAGTTTGAAAAGTCAGAGAATTTTTTATGCTTTGGCATCGATGCTGCTTGACCTGCCAAACCGATCCTAATGAAGCAATTGAGGCATAACGAGTCAATTAAGTTCTGAGACTACTTACAGTTGGAACTAAAAACATTTGTAGTTTGTTCTTTTTTAAATTTTTTAAGGTAATCAAATATAAAGTAACTTCGCATTAACAAACTAATACATCTGTGCACTAAATTGTGGATGGATTGAAACATTTTTTATATTACTAATTTAAATGTATTATGAGAAACAGTGTTTACAAAATCAGATTTCAGTACAATATAGTATTTGATAAAATGTGTTAAACATGTTGGAAGACATTTTGTGGCTCATGAAGTGGGCATAGCTAAGGGTCAGAATAAGCATTATTACAATGATTTTAAACTTTTATCTTTATAAATAGTTTTTTCAAATGTTTGCAAGGATCTTGCATGTTTTTACTATTATTTCCAGCATCTAAAACTGTTTTTTGTTTTAATATGTGATTAATATACAGATGTTAATGCAAAACATGTGTGCACCATAACAATAAAAGCCTGGTAGTGATGGTACCCACAATGCCCACTTCAGTCTCCCAGCAGGGTCCCCTGATGACATCAGCAGGGGCTATCTCTGGCGGGGGGATGTTCTCTGTCACATTGTGATACAGTGTGTAGTTAGCGTAGTACTGGTTCAAAGCCCAGATGGTTTCATTCTTTATCACCTTCTCCTTCTCCAACTGTGAAAGTAAAGCAGCAAAAATGCAGTGGGTTTTTAAACAAACAAACAAAATATGTATTTTAAAACTGATGATGCCTCAATGTCTTGACATTAGGTGACAGCCTACTGCTGACAGTCATTATCTAACCTAATCCAGCACCATAATAACAAGACTGCGTACATATCAATAAGAACACAGGCGTCATTTAAATCTGACCGACACTCCAACACCCTTCACTATAAAGCAGGCTTCTGCTTGCTACAGACACAACTTTATACCCCAGTGAAGACCACATAACTGAGTTGAAATCAGACAGCTAAAAAAATAAGTTGTGCAACAAAGTTAAGGAAAACAACACCAGAAGACATAACCTAAATCATCAATAATCATAAGCTGAAGCATACTGTCATTGCAGGCATGAAAAATGCTTAAGGATCATTGGCTCTCGCTTTTACAGGAGCCTCTTTTGGCCATATTTGGAGATCCAAATTCTAAATATATCAATAGGAAATAATGTACCTGTCTGAAGATCTGAAAGAGCACATGAGCTAATGGTAAGTAGTGATTTATTTGGGTATATTTAAAGCAATTTTTTGTCTATTCAGGCCTCTCTGGCCAGCCCAGGTAGAGGGGGCTTGAAGCCTTCTCAAGATGGGGCTAAGCCCATCCATGCCCCACCTAGACGCCAGGCCTGAATCAACCATATTTTTGCTAAACATTTTATTAATTAGCACTTTTTTCATTTTTCATGCTAGCAGTAGTAAACAGACTTTACATGGTTTCAAAAGGGGGAGCTATTCGATTGAAGTATTTCATACCTTCTCATTAACATCATCAATGAGGGCAAACAGGAATGTATAAAGGTTTCCCAGAAAGAGGGCGAAGATGCGGGCCAGCTGCCACTTCAGGGCGATGCGGGGGTGATAATCCTCCAGCTCTGCGATGGTCTCAAACAGAGGCGGACAAACCAAGCCCAACAGTGACATCACAAACTCCACCTGAGGGTGAAGAACTCTTTTAGCAAAGACATCTACTCATTCATAAAAAGACAAAAATTACAAAATTACACAATTACAGAGAAGGAATTAAGTCAATCAATCAAAAATATATCAACAAAGTAAAAAATATGTTACTAATAAAAGCTGTTAATAATATTCAATAAAGAATGTACTCAGTTTTGGCCCAAATACAATTCTAATAGAAAAAAAAATTATATTTCACTATTTTGTAACTCACCAGCCACATTGGTGTATTCTGTGTAATTTTAAGACTCCTGAATACCGTCGTATGCAAAACTTTAAACACCCCTGGTTAAATTACATATTTTGTTGATGTCATTTTTCCGAATATTTTAGGGCACAACTTTTATTTGCTGAATTTAACATATTAAATTTAACATATTAAAAAACAGCATGAAATATAAATGTGCCATTACTTTTGCACAGGCTACATTTGATGTTTTTTTTTTTCCTCATTCCCATATGTTAAATTGAACAAATAAAAAGTAACTATTTTAAAATGTGACAAAGTGCATGCTCCGTAGAGAATGTGTTAACTTATTCTTACTTGAATAAAAACATGAATAAAACATGTCATTTGACCAGGAGCAGATAAACTTGGACATGACTGTATAAATTGAATAATATAAATCATTCAATAAATCATAGCATCATTCATTTGTCTCTTTTAGAACAAGAGTAACAATAAAAAGAGTTACCTCATTTTTCTGATACCAGGATAACTGACTGCTGTCCAGTTTAGCATAGTCTTGCGATCTTTTCACTACAAAGTAGATAAGATATCCACTGCCTCCAAGACTGCATGTGATCAGCACGTTAGCGAGGACGCGCAGAAACCTCCTCAAGTGAATGTTCTCGTCCTTCTGATTCTCCTGCTCGTCCACTATTGATTCCTGTTGGCACAGAGTCAAAGGTCAGACAACGTCTGCCAATAATTAAAACTAGTACTGCAAAAACAGTGACTAAAGGATTTCTTTTTTTTTTCCTGAGAGTGTCGCAGGTAATTGTTGTTTAATGCATACTTGTTCATTTCATTTTCAGTCAAAATGGCCATGAAGTACAAATTATTTATTTTTTCAGGAGATGTTTCTGAGATTAGATATAAGATAATCCACTTATATACAGATGGAAAAGTCATAGGAAAATAAGTGAAAAAACAGGAGTTTCCAAAATAGGAGTCCAGAAAATTGGACTCCTAACAACCACCTGCAAGACCTGGCAGACCACCAAAACTGTCCTCATCAGATAAACAGCACTAAAAGCTTTCATCTTTGAGAGAGAAGAGAAAATCAAGTTCCACTTTTGCTTCAGATCTGAAAAAATCCACAGGTATTTCTGTCCATTCTTTCACATCCTTCCTGTGAGAAGACAAGTCAACGCTATGGGTCTGAAAGGTTGTGTAGCTATCAAGAAGCTGCTACTGAGGATGAGAAAAAGCCCAAAAATAGAAGATCAAAACAAAGAAGCTGCTGGTGTTTCCAGACTTTAAGAACTGTAAAGTGTCACACCTCCCTTCAGCCCTGTAGTCTCTGACACTTCCACTGTCAACCGCCTCCCGAACTCCAACTCCCAGAATCCCTCTGGAGATCACGAGTCACCTACAACCAAAGCCTATTTAAACTGTTTCATTTCTGGCTTTGCAAAGTATTGCCAGTTTCACTGAGCATACCCAAGAGTTTATCTCATGTCTAGTTGCCTGTGTTTTAACCTGCTTTGTTTCCTGGTATCTGTTTATGGATTTATTCTCTGTTCTTGTGCTTATCAGTTTTTTGACCCCTTTTTGTCCCTGATCACTCTTTTGATGTCTGTGTGATTGTCATTAGTTGTTGGTTTTGACCTTGACCTGTTTTACAGCCATGACTTTGGATAGCCCTTTTATTAAAGCCTCAACTCTGAGCACCTGATGAGTTCTGTTGCATTACAGAATACTTCACCAATTATGCAACTATGGATTTTGAGGCTCTTCAGAAGGCCTTTTCTTTTCAGTTGTCGGGGCAACACCAACTGCTCTTCGAGGGTTTACTTAATCTGTGGCCCAGCAAAAGGGCAAGCAGCATCTCAGTTATCTCAACTACTTTCAGTTATAAAGGATCTGAATTCCCAATTGCAATCCCTCAGTTTATCCAGTCTTAGCTCACCTTCACCCCTCTTACTTTCTAACAACACCTTTTTTGTTAGTAAGCCTGAGAAGTTTGCAGGATAAATGTTCTTACCTATGAACAGTTTCTGAAAGACTTTAAAGCTGTATTTGACCACTCACGTGAAGGTAGAGCAACTGGAGAGTTACTGACCCAATTACAACAAGGTAATCAATCTGTATCGGAGTGGTTGGAACGAGCCAGCTTTAATAGTAGCCTTTTTCTATCGGCTGAATTCTGAAGTTCTCACTGAGCTAGCTTGTAGGAATGAAGGATTTTCTCTGTATCAACTCATTGTCCTTGCTATTCATTTGGATCAGCTTCTACTTAAGCCAAAATGTTCTAAAATGGCCAGCTCTTTTTTCCTAGCCACAAACCAGTAAAGCTCATCTCCAGGGAACCACAGGAAACCCATGATGACAACCCCTTAGCAAAACCCATGCAGTGTGATTTATCCCGCCTGCCGGTCAAACAGAGGCATGTGCATGTGTTGTGGTGGTGCTGGTCATGTTCTGTGGTCTCTGTGCTCTACACACAAAATGTGTCTCTATTCTTGTTTTGGACTCATCTGAATTCTCTATAATATAAGTGTGGCCATGGCTAGAGAATCATAATCCCCTCATTTTATGGTCCCACCAAAAACTATTATTCTGGTTGTCTCACTCTCTAGAGCATGGTTTATAATTACCATCCTTAGCTATCTGTTCCACTTCCATAGAAAGCCCAGAGACAGAGAGGAAAGTAAGAAGAATGCCACCAAGCTCCCCCTTCATCATCCCTATGACTATTGACTATGCTATTAAACTAATACAAGGGTCCCCTCTCCCCAAATCTCAAGTGTATCTCCTTACTCAGGAAGATGAACAAATGTGAAGGAGGACGTCCAATAGGCATTAGCACAGGGTTTTATTTGTCCATCTACTTATATCTACTAGGCTTTTTCTTTATTGAAAAGAAAGAAGGGGGGCTCCGCCCTTGTATAGACTATCAGGATCTTAATCAAATCACCAAAAAAATACCCCTATTCTCTACCACTCATTCCTGCAGAACTAGAACAACTAAGAGGAGACATAATATTCACCAAATTAGATCTTAGAAGTACTTACAACTTGGTTAGAGTAAAGTAGGGTAAAGCGTGGAAAACAGCCTTTGTCACTGCTAGTGAGCACTATGAATATTTGGTAATGCTGTTTGGGCTCTCTAATGCCAGTATTGTCTTTAAAGCTTTCGTTAATAATGTCCAAAGAGATATGATTGGACTAATTGTTATTGCTTATATAGATGATATTCTGATGTATTGCTCTGACCACACACGTACAACATGTTCAACAAGTTCTCCAGTGTCAGCTAGATCTTCAGCTATATGGGTGAGATGTGTGAATTTTATATATATAAACCCTCTTTTTTGGGTTACACTATCAGCCCAAATGGTATAATGATGGATGATCACAAGGTTGAAACAGTAGTAAACTGGCCAATACCCACTTTGGTCAAGGGATTACAAAGATTTTTAGAATTTGCAAACTTCTACAATCGTTTCATAAGGGACTTCAGTAGCATGGCCACTCCCTTCACTGCTCTTCTCAAAGAAGCAACCAAGAAACTAATTTGGTCCCCCCAGGCTGAAAGCACCTTTCATGCACTTCAGGAGACGTTTACCTCGGCCCCTGTCTTGAAACATCCTAAACCCTCTTTGCCTTTTATTTTCAAGGCGGATGTCTCCAAGACCAGTGAAGGGGCGGTCCTGTCCCAGCACTGTGATAATCCTCAGAAGCTGCACCCGGTAGCCTTCTATTCACACAATCTCACCTCTGCAGAAAGACTTTATGGTACTGGAGACTGAGAATTGCTCTAGAAGATTGTACAGTGCCCAGTCATTGTCCCTCAGACAAGATCTGTTTCAGAACAGTTTCATGACCGCTTAATTAATTGAGCACATTTTTCCTTCATATCAGGTCACCCCAGTTTTTACTTGCTCTATTTGCTCACAGTGTAAAACTCTTAGGACTTTGCCAGTGGGCAAACTCATGTCCCTGCCAGTGTCTGATCGCCATATTCTCATATAGCCTTAGACTTTGTCACTGAACTTCTTCCCTCACAAGGTAATACTATTATTCTCACAGTTGTTGACAGATTTTCCCATGGTGTTAGATTTATTCCATTTCCATCCCTACCTATGGCTTTTCAGACTGCTGAAGCCATTTTCGTTAACATTTTCAGAAATTTTGGTATACCTGAGGACATTCTATCCTATAGGAGAGTCTCAATTTACCTAATTTTCTTGTGTCTGGTCCAAATTTTTTTTAGCAAATAGGGGTAACTAATAGGCTTACTTCTGGATATCACCCTCAATCCAGCAGAGAATGTTAAAGAGTAAATCAAGAACTCTGTGAATTTTTGAGAATATTTTGTCATGATAACTCTTCTGACTGGTCAAAATTTCTTGTGTGGGCAGAAATTGTACAAAACTCATGTTAGTTTAGCCACAGGGCTGTCTCCATTTCAGTGTATTTTAGGATTTCAGTCACCAGTGGCTTCGTGGACTGCTATCACCAGTGACGTCTCTGCGGTTGATAATTGAATGCAACATAGTAAGGAGGTTTGGGAGTAGACTCACTAATGTGTGGAGGAGGTCCTGCAGTGAAATATGGCACTGGCAGATCGTCATTGAGGAGCTACTCCCTTCTACTAACCTGGGGACCGGGTATGGCTTTCAACCAGGGACTTCAGATTTGGGGAGGGATGCAGGAAGCACACTCTTAAGTGCATTGGCCCCATTTAGAATCCTGAAAAGATTTAACAATGTTACTTGCCAGCTTGACTTGCTTCCTCAGAACCATGTTTCTCATTCCTTTCATGTGTCCCTTCTCAAACCTGTGGTCCGCTGGATAATGTGTCACCATAATGTGAAGGTCACTGGGTCTATGCAGTATGTCAGTTGGACCAGAAGATGCGGAGGGGTGCTCCAGTACCTTGTGGACCAGGAAGGATAGGGCTGGAGAAACAAAGTTGGGTCCCTGTCTGTGATGTGTTGGATTCTGGTTTGGTTGCTGATTTCCATAGTTGGTACCCAGGTAAACCTACTCCACGCCCTAAGGGAAGCAACTTTCCAGTCTGCTGCTGACGCTGGACATCGCTCCAGTGGTCATCCTGGGAGGTCTTCATCAGTCCAGGCTCTGATGACAGCCGCGAGAGCCGGCAGGAAGGCGGGGCCAGAACCCTGAGCGCAGATGACAGCCCGTGATGACAGCAGGGAGAGGATGATAATCCACAAGGGGTGGGGGGGTGGCCCACCTCCTGAGCACCACCTCCAGTCCTGCAGGGAGGCCACTTTAAAAGACCTCATAGTTGATCCCAGGGACCTCGAGCTGGCAAGCTGGGGAGCTAGGGAGGACTGGAAAGTCTAGCTTGGAAGTCACTGAATTTGGCCAGCTTTTGGTTGTGATTTTGTTTTGTTTCTGTGTGTGGAAAAATAAAGGTCAAGTGCTGGCTGCAACCCACATTCCTGCCTCCAGGGTCATTTCTCCTTCCAGGGTAGCACAGGCCATGCTACAGTCTGGTGCATTTATTTTGTAACATGCTAAAACTGTGAACTGAAGAAAAACTGATGAAGAAGAACGGTACCAAGGGAAACGGAGCCCTAGTATACTTGCTGAATACTGTTGGACCCTTAAAAGAGATGCTTCAAAAGCAAAATATAGCAAATCAACTACTGCAACTTTTAAGATAATGTAATTATGGTTTGCACTAGTCACTCTCCAAGCTCACTGTCTGAGGCATGGAAGCCTTAAACAGTTGTTTAAGTAGTAGTATACAGTTACGTAGTCATGTGGGACCGACCTTGAAACTAGTTGTGATGGAAGCATACTTGTTGTCAGCCGTCTCTGGGTTTCCGATGAGGTAATCCCAGCTAGTGAAGAGCTTCCAGCAGAAGGTAAACTCACTCTCTTCTGCCCCGTCACCACCTTCATTGGCGTTCCTTGCCATCCTATCGGAGAACATACAATTACTTAAACCGATGACATATGCTTTCGCTGTGTCAGCAATGAACCACTGCTAAATTCAGTAGATAATTTCATTTGTCTGGTGTTGGTTGGGAAAGATGTAACTTGAAGTTACTACTTTACCTTAAGTCAAAAGTAAAAATGAAGGCAGGATTTCAAGAATTAAGGGCATCTAAGAGTTCAATTTAATTTGGCCAGATAATATAGAACTGTTATTGTAATAGTTATTACTATTATTAGTGTAAATACATGTCCCTTCATCATTATTTTCCAAATGAAGTTGCTTTTCATTTAAAATCCCCAGACTTATAGACTACACTTTAAGTTAGTCAAGTCATGTATTCCGCATCATTGGAAATGACCCTTCGCTAAGCCCTGCCCTCTTGGTTACTGTTGCTACGTGTGTCAAGCTTTGGAGCTAACGTCATCTATAGGGTTTTTGATAGCATTCAGTATATGTTTGAAGGCTGCATACAAAGCACTGTGATCTCTCAGTGGCAAAAAAGTGAGAAACGTCATATATTAGTAAACAAGCAGCATTGCTGCTAAATGCACGGTAAGTAAAACATATGGAACAAATAGTTGAACTGGAAGGTACTTATACTATTAATCATCCTCATAAGCCACAGGGAAATTTACTGGATTAAAGACTAGGAAGACCCCTTTATGATTATGTATTTTGAGGGTGGGATGAATGTCAGAGGCTTTGGGGTGGATTTTTGAGAGTGAGCAGTGTGAAATTCTTTTTTTTGATGAATGTGGAAGGCAGCCAGATAGCTAATGCTACTGTTAGGCGAATATCTTATTGTAGCTGCATAAGACTATTAGAACAATGTTCCTAATAAAAATCATTCACTATAGATTTCCACCAGCGTCCAAATTCCATTTTAGCCCCTAAATACATATAGTGAAGAGATTCTTTCCAAAATAATGTATATTCATTTGTAACAATTTTGGATACAACAGGTTTTTGAAAAGAATAACAGCTGATATATAAAGAAAAACCTTTTTATTTTTCTAAAAAATATGATATTACACATAATATAGCACTGATATTTCTTGTATGCCTGTATTCCACTCCCAAGGACATATAATAATTCATTTATATATTGAGGAACCAAACACTTCAAGTATTATTAATCAGAGTTCATCTACGACTGGGTCAGATGGAAAGTTGCTTTTGCACCACAGGAGCTATGTTTGCTAAGCAATTTGTTTCAATTAATTTAGTATGCCTGTTGTATTATAATAAAATTTCTTCCCTTTCAACATTAAGACATAGAGAAGTAAATACTGAATAACAAAGAACTCACGTCCTAATCACTACCATCAGGCTGTATCCGAAGATTCCTATTCCGACTAGGAAATATGACAGTGGCAGGCGGAACTTGAGGAGTCCAATGGTATTCTGGTTGTTATAGTAACCATAAAAGATAACTGAGTACTTGAAGTAACCCTTTTGAAAAGGAAAAAAAAAACATATATTAGTATTTAATTTAACAGACAATTATTTCTGAATACTTCCATTTTCTCACAAGAACTGAGAGCAATGAAAAGATGTAAATCCTTACGCCAAATTCAGAAAGCACAGAGAAATCCATGGCAGTGGCCTGTTCGTCTCTAGGGACAGTTTTTCTGGGGATGGAGCCTTGGGGTAAACCCATCAGGACCTCCAGAAACAGAGAGAGAAGTGACTTTACAGACTGATTCTCATAATAAATCTAATTCTATTGTGGTGTAGAGTTGCACAAAACTTTTTCAATACTCCAATGGGGCAAACAATTCATTAATCTACAATGCAAATGTTTCAATTCTATATTTAAACAATCTTGCACTAGCTTGACATTGTATTTGCCTATATCCTTAAAAGTAAAAGGGTCCTTACAAGCTATGCCAGAGAACAGCATCTTCCTACTCCATTCTGGAGTACAATAAATACATAATCAAATATTGGTATGGAACGTTGGTCAAACCTAATCATCCATCTGATGCCAAAAATTAATATCTGAAGAATCTCCACAGAATGTAAAGGTGCTATACCAGGGCTCAGTACTAGAAGTTGACTTTTTTTGCAGCGCCCACTCCCTTTACGTCCCACACAGTCCAAAGTGTCCCTTTTTTGAGCATTTTTAAAGAGGTGGAATTATCTAAAACTAGGGGTGTGTCTTTACTCTTTAAGCTTTAAATATCCAAACATGTTTCTGTGTTCAATCAAATAAACATTTGGTGAATTTATTATACCATAGCATCATTTTCTGTCCAGCATTTTCTGGCCATGGCATCATGACAACCCTATCGTGGTGGCCACAGAAGTTACCTACTCAAAACTGCACTAATTTGGTATAATCATAAGTAACAAACTGAACAGACAGAATTAATGAGTTTTTGGCTGTTTACAATATACGATTAGTCAAGTTGCCAGGAATAGACTTGTTGGATCCATTGATCTGTTGATTTACTGAACTATTGGTTGGGGAATCAGAGGACTTTAGCATCAGGACTGGATTCAATCTCTGGAATAGAATATCCAGAAAACTAATTCAAACCCATGCGGAAAAAATATAATAATAAAATAACTTTTGCAAAACAAGGTATCATGATCTGTATGTTTACCTCAGGTATGATAACAAGCCCAAACATGAAACCAAAGAGAACAAGGTTGAGGCCATACATCCACCTGAGAAAGATGAAGTAGGAGGCTACAGAAGAGCCAAAGTGACCTAAAAAGAGCAGAAGAAGACAACAGATCAGTTGGGTCTGACACGTTTCACAAAGCATATACATTATAGCATATAGGTACAGAGAAAATCAAATGAAACCAACTTTCTACTTCTTTAATTTTCCTCTCCCATGGAATACATGCTGTCTTGAAGTTCTCAAAGTCTCGGTTGAACTTGATCAATTTCTGAAAGAAAACAAAGAAAAAACAGACAATAATCCCAGGATCTCTTTACCATAGACTATAATCCATAATGCTGTAGGTAATACTGTACCTTGGTCATCATGACCTTGAAGGCGTAGAGCTTCCTCCCTTTTCCTTTGCCCAAAGCACCTTCAAACTTCTCCACAAACTCCTGGGCCTCCCTGACAACCATTCACACAGAACCTCAGCTTTTGAAGTGTTTTTCAGACCAAAGATCATGTCTTTGAAGTTCCTTTATGGATTATTACTACATTCTGTAACCCAATTTAGTTACTGTCACCCATTATCCTATAACACAGTGAGGCCCAGCTGGTAGAATGGGGGCTTCCTCCACTTGAAGCACCATGGCATCTTTTCAGACTGCCACTAACACAGTGCCTTTGGACAGTTTGACACACTTAGGGGACAAAACTAACTTCTAGTTCTGTTACATCAGCTAACAGACACTGTAGCTTTGTGGCTAACTTTGTGCTAAGTAATAAGAGACTATCCTACCATCCCACCCACCTAGAGAGCACCAGGACAATTATGCTGTCTGAGACATGGCTGTGGTATGGATGTGCTGAGGATCTAATTCACAATCTCCTGCCTTTATTTCCAACACTTACATGGTTATGACACTTGGGAGCCCCATATTGAATGTTTTGTGACTACTTTGTTTTTTGTTTAAGGTGTTATCTCTCATGGAAGGGTTTAGATAATAGAGTTATGGTCTCCCAGTCTGTAAATCTTTCTGGGCTAATGCTAAAGTTAGTATGAACAACAAACAAATGAGACAGAAAATAATAACCAAATCTTATGGTCCACAGCTTCATGTGAAGTTTCTGGCATAGTAAAGCAGCAGTGTGTGTAAACACATAAGATGACACCAATCCTGGAGTATCAGATTCCACCCACTGAAACCTGAAACCTCAGCCTATTAATTAAGTCCTGAACTGAGCATGAATGTGAAATGTACAGACAGTTAAATGAATAACTGGATTAATTGATTGATGCTAGTACACTATGATGAGATACTTTAAACATATTACATGAAAAATATAACACCGTATTGTCATTAGAGCAAGGTACTCAAGAAAAGGCTGTCATATGGCTTTGCTAGTATTTACATCCAAAATTAAACAAAGTACCTAGTGCACATTTAGTACTTTGTTCAATATTCTTAAATGTAGTAAGTGTAATTAAAAAGTCATGCCCAACTTCTATGCTATACACAGAAGAAGGAATGGCAGTAGATGCAAGCAAATAAGAAGAATAAAAATAGGAGCCCAGCAGCAAGCATGGAAAAGGAGTGTACCTTTCCTTGTGCATCTCTGGCCCAATTCTGGCCCAGCTAGCTAGCAAATCAGCAGGAATGTTCTGTGCTAGCCAATAACAATGAACCTCTGCCAGGTACCCAGCCGGTCACTGGAACCACCAGACATATATTCCACCAATCACAAAGATGCCCAGACCGGAATCCCTTTCAAGTACCCTGTCAATCAAGAGATTCCCTTGCCAGGTTTCCACCCTCTCCATCTGGGGATACATTTCTCTTCCTACAACTCAGGTCCTCAGGGCAGCGAACACAAACCCCAGAAGTTCAACCTCCTGCAAAGGCTATCGATGCGTTCTTGGGCAGTGTTTGTATCTACTACCTCTTAAGGGCACTTGTCCAAACTCCAGGCGCCTACTTTGCCACCAGACCGCCTGGGACAGTCTGAGGTAAGGGTTCACTTAAAGGCCATGATGTAAGGAAATCAAGGGCATGATCACTCAGCCAAGCCTGTTCATGGAGGTTCAGTTTCTACTACGGTCTGGGTGATTTCTTTAGGATGCAAGCTAAGTGAACTTTGTTACTGGTTCCCACATGCTCTCATTAGATCAAGTAGTTCCCCATGTTCCCCTGCTACTGCATAGCAGAAAAGGAATAGGCATAATTACGTCATTGCAATTCTTTAAACTTTTGGATGTTTAGTACAGCAGAACCTACGCTAAGGTTCGCAAAATTGTTTTGAATCTGTGGAAGAGGAACACAAAGATGAGCAGTACATCGCTGGAGAGCTTTAATTAAGCACAACAAATCACAAAATCAAGACACAGTCCCTGCCAATGATCATTACAAAGGCAACACAACATCTTACAAAGTGTTGATGGCCTAGGTTAGCCAACAAGCCTAAGAGAGATAAGAGAAGAAGCCATTTTACTTTAAGTTTTGGAGTCTTCTCTTCATGCGCCATGGTTTGTTCCTCAGCGTTGCAATTATTTTTTTCTTCTCCTCCACTTCCTCTTTCAGACGAGCCATTTCACCTTCCGACAAAGACTCAGCGTCCGACTCGTCGGATGAGGACGAGCTGCCAAAGAGGGAAATCAAAGTCACAATACCATAGTCCATTTGGCCAGGACTGAACTATGTATTCCAAATGGATCTGAGATATTGCAGAGGGAAATTGAATTGAAGTCTTGATGCATAGTGATGATGGTGCACATTACGGATGGTACAGAAAACCAGTAGTTCATTACAGTTCAGTGAGTGTTGAATTTGTGTAAGGCTGAAAATGTAGGCAATCCAGACAGGATGAGCACTTCCAAATCTTCCGATGGAAGGCAAAAGTAAAGTCATGCAAATAAGTGTCCAAAGGCAGAATCCACAGCAAACAAGCTGGGTAAAACATCCAATAGTAGTATCAAATAGTCTTAAGGGCAAATAAAGACAGGTGCACACTAAGTATTTATTAAACAATCAATTTGAATTAAGCATGCAATCATTAGTTCAGTCAAGTAACAGAAAAACATTAAACCAAAAAGGACAATCAGATATTTCAGTAACTGAGATATGAGGTATGATGTTTTGTGCACATGGCAATTTCAACACAATGCACTATATTAAACAGAGGCATCTATATAGTAGAACATGACTGCAGTGGACCTGTGGGTCCAAAACAAAAAAATTACACCACTGGACATGAACATCAGGGCCAGGATGGTCCCAATTGAGGCCATTGAAATGAACATGGCTAGAAAGCATGGCTAGAACAAACATTAAATCAGTGCATTTGTTTAACATTGTTTTTTATAGTGTTTTATACATCACAGTGAAACATTATATTTGCATTAAGTTTAGTCACAAAGATCTGACATATCCAGTCAGTTGTTTATATATTGGCATTGAATTCTGGTCTTGAGGTAGCCACCATTTTAATGAGGTATTAGAGGTATCTCCAGTTAAACTTGAATCCCCAGTACTGCACAGTCTATAAGTAACTAGACGGTGACACATTTTCACAGTTTGTTTGTTGTTTTTGCTCTGTATCACAGCTGACCAAGAAGCAACTAATCTGTCAAAGTATTGTATAAAAAGGGTTTTAATTCCTGCATGGTTTCCCTAGTACAGATGTAAAGCTGACATTCTGCTAACATTTAAAATCCAGTGAGGTAGACAAGCAAAGTAACAAAACTAGTCACTGTCATGTTGACATATGAGTCTTAGCTGCCCAGTGTGTATCTGGCATGTAAAGGCTATCAGTTATTAGCCTAGCACAGCACTAAAAAAGAGAGACCTATACAAAGAACTATCAATATCTTTGTCCTTGAGGTTAAAAAAGCGCATCAGCTCAAGAAGGTACGGGTTTGGTTTTGATTTGAATCCATAAGCAGGGCACTACAATGAAAGGCCTGTACAAAAGGGGATTGAAAGTATCAATATCTTTGCCCTTGGGGTTAAGTGTCCCGAGAAAGGTACTTCCCAAGGGGGTATTGGTTTGAGGTACTTAACCCCAAAGTTGTTTTGGTTTTAATATCTGATTTGGGCAGGAATTATTTGTACAAAGAGGGTTGAAAGTATCAGAAAGTATTTGTCTTAAGTGCCAAAGTATCTGTCCATTTCTTTGCCTTTGGAGCTATGTGTCTTGGTTTGGGAGAATGGTTTAAGGTACTTAGGTCCAAAAGGGTATTGGTTCATATTCCTTGGTACAAGTTGGGTACCCTAAATGTAGATTCACAAAAAAAGAGAAAGTATGAACAGTGTCCTTGCGATTAAGTGCCCTGAGAAAGGCACTTAATCCCAAGGGAGAATAGGTATGAGGTACTTAACCTAAGGCTCGTATTGGTTTGAATACCTGATCTGGGCAAGAAGTATTTATACAAAGAGGGTTCAAAGTATCAGAAGGTATTTGGCTTTTGGTCCAAAGTATCCTTTCATATCTTTGTGTTAGGAGCTATGTTTTGGGGGAATTGGTTTGAGGTCCAAGAGGGTACTGGTTTAAATTCCTTGGTAGATGTTTGGTACCCTAAGTGTAGATTTATACAAAGGAAGTTGAAAGTATGGATAGTGTTGCCCTTGTAAGTAAGAGCCCTAAGAAAGGGTTACAGGTGCTTAACCACAGGGTGGTATTGGTTTGAATTCCTGATTTGGGCAATATGAGGAATGATTTATCGAAGAAGGTTGAATTTAATGTATTAAATCAAATGTGAATATCATTGCCCATGAGTTTCGCTCAACACCAAAGTATCAGTATATCTTTGCCCTTGGGTATAAGTGCCTTGACAAAGTGGTATTGGTTTGGGGTTCTTAAAGTTGGTTTGAATCCATGAGGTGGGAAGAATAGAGATTTGTACAGAGAAAGTATAAACTCAAATTCAGCTCCAACTTTCTACACCTTTGATATGATATTGTAAAGAACAATAATCATTTGTAAATTAAAACCTGTACTAAATGAGGTTCAAGTTGTTAATTGTTGGTAGAAAAAAACTCAGATTCCTTATAGCAGACCAGTGATTATGTTCCCTTACAATACCACAGTAATCATGGGGAAAGTTGGTATTAAATGCCCTTCTCAAGCTAACGACACTGATACTTTCAAACCTGTATCTGTATGATGGTAATCTCATTTGGAAACTGCTTTGAAATTAAACCCAAACAAAAAGATGATAAAAAGAGACTCAGAGAAGGTCAAGCCTACAGAATACTGCACCTGCTGGTGTCTCCTTTCTTCTTCTTGTCATCACCCTTTTCTTTCCCTCCTTTTCCAGCTCCTTTGCCATTGCCTTTCTTCTCTTTGTTGTTCTCTTCCTCTTTCTCCTTTTTGCTTACTGCTTTTCCTTTCCTCTTTTTCCCTTTCTCCTCCTCACTGTCGGGCTCGGAATCCTCGGCTTTAGCAGCCGCCTTCTTCCTGCTTGCCACTTTTGCTCGGCCACGGGGACGCTCATCCTCGCTCTCCTCCCCACTGTCCTCTTTCTTCTTTCTGCTTTTCCGCCTGCGTGGAGCCTCTTCCTCCTCCTCTTCCTCCTCACTCTCTGGTGGCTTGGCCTTCTTTCCACGAGCGGCTGGTTTGGCCTTCCTCCCACCTCTTGCTCTCCTGTTGGAGATCCCTGGAGACCCACGTAGGTACAATTATAGGTACAATTCTACAAATAATAATTCTAAGTTAAAGTTAGTTTTGCCCTGGAGCTAAGAGGCTAATTCCATTACTTATTAGCTATATTAGCCTCATTTTACCTGTCTTGGCTGATCACCTACATTTGGGATGGCTTAAATGACTTTAAATCACACTATATGGACAAAAGTATTGGGGCACCAACACATTACACCCACAGGAGCTTTTATGACATCCCATTCTAAATCCATAGGCATTTATATAGAGTTGGTCCACCTTTGCAGCTTTCGCGAACTGAGTACATGACTACATCCTTTTACAGTACCACACTTGAATTCAGTGAGCTCTGGAGAACGACCCATTCTTTCACAAATGTTTGTAAAGACAGAATGCATGGCTAGGTTCTTGATTATATACACCTGTGGCAATGGGACTAAATGAAACACCTGAATTCAAAGATTAGGCCCTGTGTTTCAATACTTTTGTCTGTACAGTGTCTGTTAACAATGTATCCCTACACATGTCCCGGTTTAAATGTATAATTTACATAGGAAGTGTAGTTTATTTGGAGCCATAACAGGTGTTTTGTGCGTCTCTTTTTGCAGACATCTTGCACAGGCTATATCTCAGTTGTTTGAGTCAAATTTCATGTTTAGTTGAAATAAGTTTGAATTTATTTGCTTACTTATTCTATTGAGAAAAAAAATATATATATATAAAATGTGCCATAACTTTTACACCAGGCATTTTAAAATTTTCTGTTTTTTATTTTCCCAATGCGTTAAATTCAGCAAATAAACAGTAATTGTGCATTAAAAGACATTTATTCTCTATAGAGGATGTGATAACTTATTTTCACTTAGAAAATCAACTAAATATGTAACTTGACCCAAGGCACACAAATTTTGTATATTATTATATAATTCCTTTGCAAATATGGAGATTCTGTACACACAACAATGTTGAATTAATCCATGAAAGTTACAAATAGAGCCCTCTTAACAATAAAAGACAATCCCATATTTCAGCTGTATGTTTTATATGACTTACCATCATTTTCACTGTCATACTCGCCATCAAACTCCATCCCAACTACAAAATAAACACACATACACACACACATAATATTTTACTAATGGCAATATCTAGACTGATATCCTGTTAATACTGCAATATAATGCTGCAGTTTAATGCAAAACAGTACAATGCATTATAGCTGACGACTTCTATAGACTCCATGTATAAACGCAGCTGCAAAAAAGTTGGGAAAGTATGTGAAATATCAATAAAAACAGAAAACAATAATTATTAAACTCTTTTTAAACTGTATTGAACTGAAATCAGTACACAACCAATATTTGGTGTTTTAACTTACACACTTTAGAATATTTGTATTCAAAAGTTTGTGAATTTGTAAATATATGCTCATTTCTAATGTGATGCCTGCAAAATTTTCTGAAAAAGCTGGGACAGGAGCATGTTTTCCACTGTGTCACATCACCTTTCCTTTTAACAGCACTTAATAAACATTTGGGGACTGAAGATCCAAACTGATCCTGTTTTGAAAGCAGATTTTTTTGCCGTTCTTCAGCTATACAAGTCTTTGTTGTCACATTTTGCACTTCAAAGTATGCCCAATGTTTTCAGTGGAAGACAGGCAGGCCAGTCTAGCACTGGCACTCTCTGATTACACAGCCATGCTGTTGTAACATGTACAAAATGTTTCTTGTTGTTGTCATGTTGAAATAAGCATAGACGTCCCTGAAAAACACAATGCATATGTTGCTCCAAAATGTGAATATATCTTTCAGCATTAATGTAAACACACAGATGTGTAAGTTAACCACTAACACCCCCCACATCATGACAGACCCATGGATTTTGAACTTTATGCTGGTAACAATCTGGAGGGTCCTTTTCTTGGCCGGAGAATACAACATCCATGATTTCCATTAACAGTCTTAAAGGTTGAGAATACATGTTTCTGATGTGCATCAGTCCATTTCAGATGAGCTTGACCCTGAGAAGTTGGCACTATTTCTGGATGTTGTTAACATATGAATTCAGCTGTGCATAGTGCAGTCTTAACTTGCATTTGTGGATGCGGTGATCTGGTGATATTCATCACAGCATGGTGGTTTTTAATACTGTGCTATCTGAGGGATTGCAGGTCATAGGTGGTGTTGGCCTTGCTTTTTAAGCACAGAGATTTTTTTGGATTCCTTGAATATTTTTATTGATATTTTGCACTGCAAAGGGTGAAATACCTAAAGTATTTGTTGAGGAATGTTGTTCTTAAACAGTAGGGCTATTTACTGACACTTTTTGGCAAAGTCTTGACCCATTCTTGCCCGTTAAAGGTTTAGGCTTTTCTCTGGATGCTCCTTTCATACCTAAGCAAGGTTACATTGCTTCTTTTAAAATGTTTTCTGAACATTTAACAGTGTTCCTAGTCTTAAATTGCTTCTGCCTCAACTTTTTTGGAATGTATTGCAGGCATCAGGTTCAGAATAAGCATATATTTACACAAAAACAGTGAAGTTGATAAGATAAAACATTACATATTTTGTCTTTGTGCTGCTAAAGTGGTTTTACAAATCATTGCTTTCTGTTAACATTTCACATGCTGCCCCAATGTTTTTGGAACCGGGTTTATAGTACTCCAGCTTTCGAAAGCTTGGAATTTTTACACATTTTACATTACCAAAGAGCAGGATTAGACTAAACAATGATGTGACAGTTTTCTTTTCCAAAAGATTGTTTAAAAGCACATGTTGCCAATGCAACCCATTCATAAATAAAGCTACTTCTTATTTGTTACACTCAAAATCATACACAAATAAACAAAACCCAATAATCCATAAATTATACAAAATTATAGCTTTCTAATTGTAGGATGCTCTCAGTGAAATTAAGTCATAATTTTACAATATCTTATGGTTTCCATATGCGCTCAGCATAGAGTTCAGCTCACCTCACCAACCAGAAAGGAAAAGAGAAAGAAATAAACATTGACTCAAAATTTCTGATGTATTATAACAATGGAATATTTTATTTTGTCAAATTTACCATAATTATACAAACCCAATTCCAAAAAATTTGGGAAAGTATGTCAAAGTAACAACAAACTTTCTAATACATGCTATTAATTCTTATACTTTAATGCACTTGTTCTTTCTCACATTATCACTTTTTTGTATTATTAAGCCAAAATCTTCAGAAAATAAGTTATTTTTAAAGTTATTATTATTTTTTTTAACCTGTTGAGTTTGAAGATGGATAAAAACCTTTCCTTCTATCTGACAAAAAACTGGCTTTAATACAAAAAGCATGTGAGCCAAACAGGAAGCTAAATTGTGCTGCTGTGTTAATAACAAATTCAGGCCCGAGTTCATTTGCATTACATTTCTTTTGTTAGCTGCTAAATTGGCTTCCCCACCAGCGTGTCAATCATTTCTTGTTCACAGAACTCTTGAAATGTTGAAAGAAATGACTAAAAATAGCATTTGGTGAGTAGTTTGTAGAATCGTAATCCATACTGTAAAAGTTATTATTGTAAAAAATGGTCAATATGACAGGTGATTCCAACAATATGATGACCAGGGTTGGTTTTAGGTTCAGGTTTTGGGTTGAAGTTAAGGTTAGTTTCCAACTTAAAGTTCAAGTTCAGTTGCATTTAATACATATTTAGATGAAGGTTAGTTAAAGTTCATTAAAACAACATGAGCATCTACAAAGCATCTACAGCAGGCTCTCAAAAACATGTTTCCATGTTCTAACTTCTTCTGTTACAGCAACGAGATTTAATTCCAGGTCATTTTTACTCGTCAATGTGTCATTAAATATTTACACGCTATACAGGACACTGTGCATTTTTACATGATGTTAAATAAAAATAAAAACTCTGGAAAAAATGGAGGCTTCCTTACGCATATCAGCACTTCAGAAATTCAATAAATATGCCAAAACAAAAGGTCTGCATCCTTCAAATACAAACACTCCCTTGTGAAAGACAAACGCACTTAAGTGTACTTTTCAAAAGTGTATTTAATTTGAAAAGTACATACAATTAATATTTACACTTTTAACATACTTTAATACATACTAAACTGTATTAAACGACTTAAATGTTTTTTACTTTAAGTGCTTTTTTTAAACAGCTTAAGTTACACTTAAGTAAATGTAAATATAACTTACGTATAACTGTTACTACACTTGGAATATATTAGTAATGTACTATTGGATGTACTGATACACGCCAGTGCTACTTATTGAATTATACTGCAGATAAAATGCACTTAATTGCATTTCAAATTATATTTCACGCTTCAGTCCATTCAACCAATAAAACGTATTTACTTATATAAAACATAATTAAGTACACATTGCTAGTTAGATTGAGTTATACTGCAACTATATCTGTACTGAAGCATACTTTCAATGTCATCGCTTTAAAAATACTTTGAAATGTTTAACTAAAAGCATACTAAATATAAAAAGCACGTATAATTTGAATGTTTAACTTAAAAATACACAGAAAAGTATGTTTAGTGTATTTTCCATAAAATATATGAATTAAAAAAGGAACTCTATACGCAACTAAGGATACTACTGATGCTTCTTTTTCACAAGTAAGCAGAGAATCCTCAAAAAACAGTCAGTATGAATGAAGGAATTGAACTTTAATGATCTACTCACCGTCATCCATAGTTATTGCAATATCACTTTTCCTGCGCGGCATTGTGGCAGTTGCGCTGGCTTCAGTCAATGTATTCCCATAAACAGCAGTTTCTTGCTAGTGAAGGCATCTAGGGCAGAGCACCTGAGTAGCGCCCAGCTTCTGTGTGCAGCAGGTGCGCCTCTCCACGGGCTGAGCATCAGATATCTCCTTGACTACGGCAAATGATATTGCCCTGGAGATTCGTATCAAAAAAAGGCCTGGGGGGGGAATCACAAGCAGAAAATGGAAAAAAATACTGGACAAATAACCTAAGACTGAACCTGTGGACATCCTAAAACAAGCACGTCATAGAAAAACCATCTTAACATCTAAAACATACATTAATGACCATGTGGACTAAGAAATGTAAGCAAAAATAATGTAGAATTTACTCAGTGTTTTATTTGAGGTACAAGAACGGAAGGGGCTGTAACAATGGACAGTGGAAGGATGGTCAATGGTCTATAGAAGCATAGGTAAAGGTAGATTCTATGAGTACCTACTTAACAACTCTGAGGTGAAGTCTAAGTGCCAATTTATGCAAGGCATGTAATGGGTGTGTCTTAATACCTAGTAAGCTGCCCTGCTCCCTACTGCCTATATAGCCAGCTAGTAAAAATGACATCACTGCCACTTGCATGGCTGTCAGAACCACAGGCATTTGACCCACCACTTTTCAAAGTACTTGGGTGATGCCCTACCAATTTTTCATTAAGTTCAAGTTGCTTACATTCAAACATGGAAAAAAATCCACTATCGATTTTTTACTAATTAAATTTTTCAGTACGTACTGAAATTGTTACACCTGTATTTGCTAGCTAGTAATGTTTAACAACAGGATCGTCACAACCTAGCTATAGCTAGGTCAGCTAACCAGTTATTTAGCCAGCTGGACATTCAAAACAACAGCATGAGGTGACAGAGCTAGCTAGCATGCTAATCTATGAATACCTTCGATGTGGCAAAAACTGTAACATAAGTAAAATCATAAACAAAATGATATTCAAGAATGATAAAAATTTGTATGATGAACAAAAGCAAGTAAAACACCAGACAGTGGTTAAAGTAACTTGTCAGCTAACAAGTTATTTAGCCAGCTGGACATTTAAAATAACAGCATGAGGTGACGGAGCTAGCTAGCACGCTAATCTATAAATACCCTTTATAGGCAAAAACTGTAATGTACGTAAAAAATCATAAACAAAATGATATTCAAGAATTTTTACGATAAACAAAGCAAGTAAAACACCAGACAGTGGTTGAAATCCCTTGCATTTGAAGATAACTTCACCGCTAACAAGACGACTTCATGAATGAATTGGAAATTGAAGAGAAAATATTCCAGAAAGCTCAAGAAGGTAGTAAGCAGCACATTTATGGTAGACTTCCCAAAGAATAAACAAGGCAGAGATCCACAGCCTGAGGTGTAAACAAACCTCACGTTTTAACGTGAGTTACACTGAACAAAGATTCTAGTGCTTTCTTTGGTTTCTGTTTTTGACCTGTAGCTGGAATGTCTGATTTTTGGATGTTTCTTTAATTAGTCGAACACATGTCCGCTTATGTGGACATAACCTGGCCCTGTGAATAATTCAGCAGCAATTGGACACCCGGCCGCGGGGTGTGGAGTCATTAAACCGCCCCGTTCCTGGAATTATGGCTGCGCTCCTCTGTAAGCTCATCTTCATGTGTCCCTGTTGTTCTGCTCCGTCACTGCGAGGACTCACATTTCTGTTTTCTGGTGTTCAGACAGTCCATGATAAAGCGTTTTTAGTAGAAGCTTGGAGGAAAAAAAAGAAGTAGACCACTGCGTTTAGCATTAGCCAGAAGCACTTGAGTAATTTAGCATCAGGCTTTGTACTTTTTACAAGATTTTTTCACATTTGCTTTTAAAATAAGTCATCATATAACAGTTAGTTGTGATGGCACAATCTGTTAGCGCTCTAACAATGCTTCTTTGTACTCCTCACAAGAGTAGCTATGTTTGACTATGTTAGTATCAAGCTAACAGCGTTAGCTCGGCGGATGGGGTTTTTATGTCAGTTCTACTTCAAATACAGACACTTTTTAGCTCATAACAGGCATTTAATAATCTTTACTTTGTATACTACTAGCCTACTAACGAGGACAGAATCCATTTATGAAGAGAATATAAAGTTTAAATCAGCTAAAGTGAGTCTGTTAGGAGCAAACAGTGATGTTCAACTAGCAGTTCGTCATCTGGTTGCATGTTATGAGTGCAGATTTCAACTCTAACAACTGGGCTTTTTCAAGGAGTCATTATGAAGCCGTATTAACATGTCTGTTGAAGCTCTCCTGTTTATGCTTGTAACATTGCTGTTCTTGCCAATGATTTCATCTTCACCCGGCTGTAGTGAAAGCCACAAACTGCACGTTGTCCCTGAATGCCTTGGAGAAAACAATAACTTAAAAGTATGCATACTTTCTTTGACTGCGCCAAAAACGGTAATGAATGACCGGACATTTCAGCCATAATCTTGAAATACAATGGTCATTTGAATAATAATGTAGATACCTGTACACTCTCAGAAAAAAAAAGGTACAAAACTGTCACTGGGGCGGTACCCCTCTTGTCACTGGGGTGGTACCCTCAAGGTTACAATTCAGTACCTTTAGTCAGCGAACATAATTGTACCAAAATCCACTGAAAGTTGTATGGACTCCACACACCCCGTCTCGTCTCCGGTCTTTTTTTATCATTCAGCTTTAAAACATTACATTACAAATATGTACTTTTCACTTGGGAAAAGCGTGTTTAAGGTACACAATTGGACCTTAAAACCACTGTTGTACCTTTGAGGTTACATTTACATTGTTTGTACCTTGATAAACGAAAAATGTACCAGCACTGTATCTTTATTTCTAACAGCGTACCTCTCCACTGATCACCGGTTACTATGAAATGGATCAATTTATGCTGCAGCTAACTGTTTCTATTTTAGCACATTAAAAACATAAACTAAATACATTTGATAACTTCTATATGATAATATTTGACCTATCTCTTCAGAGAGTATGACTGCAGCACAACATCAAATTCTACCTAAGTAAGTGGTTTGGTTGGAATTAGCCAGAACTTTATGTGTTTTACAGACTTTCCAGGAAAAAAAAAAATCATGTTAATCTGGTAAGAATTGAAAAAGCTGAGGTGAACCTGATATTGCGACAGTTTGACATCAGCAATGGTACTACTTTTTAGGCAGAAGGAATTGCCAGTATTAAGGCACTGTAGACAATGTTTATGGCTTCTTTATGTTACATTTTCTTTATTTTGCAGAAATGTTGTATTAAAAGCAATAGAAAAGTCAAGGAAACATGTTTTATATTGAGTATTAATGACATAGCAACCACCTGTTATAGCATAGCAATGGCGCAGCAATACCTATCATAGAACCACCACTGTTTAGGTATTATGTTGTGGTGGATCAATTCTCAGCAGTGACTCTGACATGGTGGAGTTTTTACACATCAGTATCACTGCTAGGTTGAGACTTTTTCAAAAACGATGAACTCTTTAACTGTGACCTCTCCTAAGAGTGTATTTACTTACATTTACATTTACGTTTCTTGCAATTATGAACTTTTACAGCACACTAAGTGCTGGACTTTCCATTCGCACTTTAACACACAGAGTGATTGTGTCTCAGTCTGATAGATTTCAGGAAGCCAGTCTGTCATAAAGTGGCATTGATTGGCATTAAGTGTCTTGAATTAATCATCTACATAGTACTACAGCAGCATCCGATAACATCTGAGAGCTATGCGCTGATGGGCTTGGATGTCCCCTTAGTACGGCAGTGAAAACAAGAAGGATAACATAAATGACATCATATGCATCAAGAAAGCATTCATCCTTGCTTTATAATCTCTCTGTTTGCGAGATTTCTTGAGCCTCAGTGGAGCTAAGCTTCTTTAATGTAGCATTTGCTATCAAGTCTTATGAATCCACTTGCTACCTGAATCCAGAGAGAGCAGCAGCTCTCAATTAAGCAGGGCTTACTTAAATGAACAAATGAACAAAAATCTCAAATGTCTTGGATTAATAGTTAATGCTATCTACTCATGCATCTTGCATGAGCACCTGCAAAGTTAATGAGGCTTATGCGCCAAGTCTCCAATGAATAAATGTCAAGATTGCATGAAATTTATGCAATCAATCCATAGCCAGGTATCTGTATGTATATGTTTAGACTATGGAGATCCTATTATAAGCAATGCTTTCTAGGTCCCTGACAGATGTTCCATGCTAAGTGCTACACTTTGCCATACTGAATGGCGTAGTGGGGGTCACAAGAAGATTAGTGAACCTCATATCTTAGCTGGCAAATCTCTGGCAGGGGGAAAAAGGATCTGCATGTGGGACACAGGACACCCAGAGTTGAGAGTGGATTCGAGAAGGCAGCTTACTGCATGGACACAGCATGGAGCATCTAAAAGTGGATTTAAAGAATAAACTAGAATAAACTTTTAGTTGGCTTGACAAAGCCATTGCGGTGCTATCCCAGGTGGTTGTTAAGGTTTTGCTAGGCCGTTGCTATGGTATCCCAGGAGGTTGCTAAAGTGTTACTAATATGTTGATGTGGTGGCTTTGGTTGGCCGTCATTATGGTATCCCAGGTGGTTGCTAAAGTGTTGCTAGGCCATTGCTATGGTATCCCGGGTGGTTGTTAAGATTTTGCTAGGCCGTTGCTATGTTATCCCAGGTGGTTGCTAAAGTGTTGCTAGGCCATTGCTATGGTATTCCGGGTGGTTGTTAAGATTTTGCTAGGCCGTTGCTATGTTATCCCAGGTGGTTGCTAAAGTGTTACTAATATGTTGATGTGGTGGCTTTGCTTGGCCGTCATTATGGGATCCCAGGTGGTTGCTAAAGTGTTACTAGGCCATTGCTATGGTATCCCAGGTGGTTGTTAAGGTTTTGCTAGGCCGTTCCTATGTTATCCAAGGTGGTTGCTAAAGTGCTACTAAATGTTGATGGGGTGGCTTTTGTTGGTCATCATTATGGTACTCCAGGTGGTTGCCAAAGTGTTGCTAGGCCATTGCTATGGTATCCCAGGTGGTTGCTAAGGTGTTGCTAGGCCATTGCTGTGTTATCCCACGTGGTTGCTAAAGTGTTACTAATATGTTGATGTGGTTGCTAAGGCTTTGGTTGGCCGTCGTTATGGTATCCTAGGTGGTTGCTAAAGTGTTGCTAGACTATTGCTATGATATCCTAGGTGCTTGATAAGGTGTT